CCCCCCCCCCCCGCCCCCCCCGGGCGGGCCCCGGGCCCCCCCCCGCCCCGGGCGGCCCCCCCCCCCCCCCCCCCCCCCCCCCCGCCGAACGCCGACGCTCGAACCGCCAGCTGATCGTCCGACTCTGAGTCCGTCTCCCCACGGTGCACCGGGAAGCCTTTCGGCGCCGGGGCAGCCCTGTCCCCGCCGCGCATCGAGCTTGATGTGCCGGTTGGTGCGACGGTTGAACCGACAGAGTTTCCGAGCGAGTCCATCGATCGCGAACCCGAGTGCCTCCGTTGCAAGGCCCGCCTCTCTTCCCTCGGCTTCGCCTCCGGCGCGACCGCGTTGAGGGACGCGTTGCGCGTCGGAGTGGAAGTCCCGCCCGAGGACGTCCCCTGGTTACTCATCCACATCTTGCGCTGCGTCCACCTCGAGTCCCCGATCGCCCTGCCGGAGGCTTCCACCTTGTTGGAAGGGGTGCGGCCTTCGAAAGTCCAGACCGGCGAGACCATGCCCGCGGGCGAGGGACCCGGGAGGTCGGGAGACGGTTCAGCGAGGCTGTCCTGGTTGTTCGGCTCGGAGGCAGACACCTCCGGCGCGTTGCTCGAGGAGCCACCGTCATCGTGCCTCTCGACAGCAACGGCGGTGCCCCCGCCGTCGGCCGCTTCTCCTGCCGCCGCTTCTTCCGGGTTGGCACTTGGAACGCCTCCTGCAGAATCGCCTCCCCCGGTAGACGACAAAACCGCCTCGTTCCCGCTCCCGCTGCCACCTCCTTCGCCGCCAACGCTGTTCGCGATACCCGCGCCCCCGTCCTCTTTGGGGGCGGGCGCCTGGGGTAGTGATCGTCCCGACACGCTCGAACCCAACTCCTCGCCGTCCTCGCCACGACGTGGTTGCTGCTGCGTTCCAGTCGCTTCCTCTCGCGCTCCCTCGCCGTTGACCGCCGTAGCAGGCGCAGCTGCCTCAGCGGCAGCTGTCACAGGCACCCGCTGCTGTACGGCTGGTACACTCGGCGGGGGTGCTCGGGACTTCACAGGCATCCGTCGGCGGGGGCTTTCAGCGTGGGGATGAACGTGGAGAACCACGAGTTTTGCTGCGGCTTGGTGGAGCCGCTCCGCCAGCTTAGGAGGAGAAACGTCCATTTCTGACAGACCGAACGTGTGGCCGCCACCTGCGTACAATACCGTCATGGATCACCGCGGTGCCGGGTGCAGGGATTAGGGAGGGTAGGAGGGGAAGGGGCTGCAGTCGAAAGAGCGTCGCGTACTCAGCACACTTAAGACAAACACCGCATCTACATATGTCTACGCGACTTACTGTTTTCTGCTTCGTTCATCCCACTAGCGACGGAAGGCGGAACAAACCTTCGCGCGAACACGGCATGGTTTGCCCGGCGAGTCAAATGGTTAAGGGAAAAGTTCTTGAAGGCAGGCTTTCAAGCGGGCAACGGCAAGCGGGCAACGGCACCCGGCAGCATGACGAGGACAACGTTGGCACAGATGACGTGACTAAACGAGAGAGTAAGTTTCGTTCACGCTGCTTCGGCTCACCTTCCGGTGTGAGGAAGGTGGTGTTCGACCAGAAATCGATCACGTTCTTATGGGTGCGGGAAACACCGACAGTCCCGCTTATCAGAACCTGTCAGGGTGCGAAATGGCAAAACGGGCGAGCGTTTAATACTGCAAAAGTCCAGAGTTGGCTTTTATGAGCGCACCGTGTCATCAAGGGGTGATGCAACATGACAAAAAAAAAACAGGAAAGCAGGCAACAAGACCAGCCCAGCCCAGCCCAGCCCAGCCCAGCCCGGCGCTGGCTGCCAGCGGCCAGCTGGTTGTAACTTTTCCCAAGCCCAATACTTGACAAGTTTCGACTCGAAGAGCCCAGCGAACCTCAACGAACAAAAAACTTTACAAACTCTTCACGCACCAAGTCCTATTTCACGAAGCTATGCTACACGGAAAGTGCTCAAGACAAAGGAGCCGCGATAGAGCGGGGAGAGTGAGAGCATCACACACCTGGAACGTGCCCTGCACCACCGCGCTACGAGGCAGAGCTGCCGCGTAGACCGTCCCCAGCTCCCCCTCCTGCGGTGCCACCTGCACCATCTTGGTCCGATGGACGAGCGTCTTGCCCATCGGCTGCTGCTGATAGATGGCACACGACAGGTTCGGCTGCACCGTGCATCAACAGCAGTGGAGAGGAGAGCGCACGACCCATAGAAGGTGGGGACGGGGGACAGTCGTTGTTATGATAGGCTACACACGAAGCAGTGTTCGTCGAAAAGTGGGAGATTCAAGCGACAAGAAGGGACCGAACGGCAAACACCCACACGCAGCATGGTTTCAACTACCGCTGGACTTCTGTACGCACACATGAACATTGCGCAAAACAGCCAGCTCTTGCGTTTCGCCTCGCCCTAAGCCAAGCCCGTCTGTAAAGTAGCCATCCCTAGGCATCTATCTCACCAGGAAGACGCCGCTCTTCCTGCTCCCCGGCGCCGGTGGCTGAAACTGAAGCGAGACCTCTCGGAGGCACGCCGCTCGGAGAGCTGGTGCCCTCAGATCAGGGTCCTGCCCGGGCACCATCCCGATGCTATCCCGCACGCCCCACACCTATCCCACGCAGTTAAGACAACATGGACACAAAGTGACGCGCGGCAGCGGCCTGGGTCATTCCAGGCTTTCACAGCAGTACGAGACGTGTCGTGTGAAGGGCGCACAACAACAGTTTCCAAGGCTGTGATAGAAGGTGCAAGAGGGAAGAGCTGTCAAAGAAGAGAGGAGAGGAGACGTCCACGCCACTGGCTGTTCGATTGCGATGCTTACCAGGCACCCAGCTTAGAAAATGAAGGCAAATATCTCTGGACGCCAGCTGTAGGGAGGTAGATATGTCGAGCATTGTTTTCGTGTCTCACCTCCTTGACGAGCCTCTCGTACATGAACGGCCACTTGCGCTGATTGACCACGGTGAGCCCTTTCAGATCGGAAACCCTCGTCTGTTCCACAAAAAAGGCCAGTTGACATGAGACACGCGGCGGCAAGAACAACACAAAGTAAAGCGTCACGCATGGCCTGCACCAGTGTCTCTGACAAAGCAAGGGATCCAACGAGCTCCTTCATGATGCAAAATACAAGTTGATCACTGCGTCACACCTTCCTCCGCCTCAATAGACGTCTACTCATCAGAAGAGCAACGTCCAAGGATGGGTTGCACATGTCGATTCGGACCGGACCGTCGCCAAAGAATACTTGCCGGCTGACACCCCCCCCCCTCGCGCCTTCAATACAACTATAATAACATGTCCACCTGACAAGTAAACTCCCAACAAGGGTAAAAATGTGTGGCCGTCTCACCGCATCAAACTTCGACACTGCATCGGCCGCTGTCTCTCCCAATCGAACCAACAGGCATGCCGCCATGATGCCCGCCCTACCCTTGCCCGCCTTGCAGTGAAGAGACACCACGTTGTTCTCATCCATGTCCAGCCAAGCCTTAGCGTTCTCGCAAAAATTCACCACGGACTCCAGGGGGGGGCACGTATGATCCGAGAAGGGGTACCTAATCAATCAATCAGCCAAATCAGACAACACGGGAGACGACGAGGGGCCAACAGCAGTAGCGGCGTCACTTTGGCTTTCGTCTACCGCACACGGTACTTCCGCAGCGCGGGTCCCTCTTGGCCAACACATAGCTGAAGGTCGTTCGTGCCCTAAATAGGTTCGGCATTCAGCGAAAAATGTACACGAACAGCTCTGCTGCTGCAGGGTGTCCCAACAGCGTACGCCATGTCATACCATACGGCAATGGCCTTCCCAAACACAACAGAATACGCATACAGTACGACAACACAAACCTCTCCACGCGGCCCTGAAAGAGTTGGTCCGGGTACGTCCGGCCTGGCTCATTCGCGAAGTTGTACACCTTGTAGTGACCCCTGTGATACTTTTCGAGCAGTCGCTGCACCTCGGTTCGAGGATTCCGGTAGATGTGTTCTGCGCCGACAGAGACGTGAAGGGAAACGCAAAGGCACACACGCGGCCAAGATTCTCACAGGTTAACTTGCATCGGAGCAGGGGCGTGCTAAAGATAGGAGACAGAGACGCCCATTTCCGAGGCTACGGTAGTCAGAATAGCATATCATGCGATGTAAACCACAGCATTCATTCATTCGCAGCAGAAGACCACAGCGGGCGAATCCGGACGTGGCCTGGGCGATCCACACCTGCTGCTTCTGTTTCATCAACGTTTGTTTGGCGCATGAGTCGAGTCCACAACTGAACGCTGGACCGCAGCCTACAGCACCAATTTGTTGACAAGCAACAAACCATGAAGTATGTACCAAGAGCAATTCCTGTCACGATTACTAGAGGATCAGACATCGGGCGGGCACTGCTGTTGTCGTAATTGGTTCCTCGGTCAATAAATTTAATTGACCATACGTAGACAACGGATCGCAATTCTTCCGGGAGGAGTATCGCTTGTGCTCACAGTCACAGGAGAGGAAGGCACCGCCAACAATTCGGTGCGGGTCACTTTCCCTCCAAGTCCTCTACCAAACACGTCAAACTTCCTAGTCCCCAATCTCGATCGCTTCCTTCTTGGATAAAATGTTAATGTTGCTACCTCAACCATTTTAGTACCGCTTTAGGGTGGACAAACTTTTGCGGGGGGTGGGAGGTGTGAGGGGCGAACGTGTCTTGCTCGTGCCTCGTGCGAACATTAAACGAAAATACAGCGCAGTCGTCAACGTGAAGTTTACTTTCATTTTCTAAAAGCAAATTGTGGCCATCCCCAAAACGGAAATGATTGGGGGACTCGTTGCATAATTTCAAAAATATTGAGTACACAAAGTCGACCCTAACCGTCCCAGCGTTCGTGGTAACACTCCACATTGACTACTGTGTTTGTTGCGATTTGACCGGACTGCTGTCGAGTACTTACCGGTAAGGCTAAAGTCTACGCGCCCATTACCGTTACAAGTACCGTAAATATAAAGCCATATAAAGCCGAGAATAGCAGTGGCATCACCGACGGCACTCATGCCGCCCGCGGAAGCAACCCCTTCCCCGCCGCCCCGCCCGGCGGCCTCAACATCAGAGCGCTAACGACTGTCTGTGTCAGCGGAGCCCACCAAGTATCCTAGTCTGGTCTCACCTACGCCGGTAGAGGGAAAGCCGTGGACGATAATTCGGCTCGTCACGTACGTCAAGTCCAAATCGAAGCCATCCTGGGAGAGCAAGCAGCCGAGAATGTGGAGACAGCAGCAGCAACACCAGTCATCATTACCCAAAGTAAAAGAGTGAACAAATGAAAACGAGTCTCGCCTCCTCGACTGCAAGGCTAACGTTGCCCTGGGGAATGGGGAACGGCACACCAAATTAGGCATTGTAGGCATGCGCGAGAGGCTTCAGACGGCGCACTACGCGAGATCCTTTCCATTCCCCCGATGAAGTTTGCCAGAAATTGCCCTTGCACATGTACAGCAGTACGTACAAGGCGGTGGCGACTTGCCCAGAAAAATGCGATACTTTCAAGGGCGGACATTTCCTGCGCGCGCCCAATACAAATTTCCAGTCCGCAGCCGCGAAGCCATTTTTCGCAAGCTGCGCTCACAACAAAATCCTGGCGCTAAAACGTCAACATGAAACCTTGTCAGATATATAATATACTCATCTTTGGACACCGCCGTTACGCACTCTTTCGCGCCGTCGACTCTTTTACTAAACGATGGGCCCTAGAGCTCCAGATGCAGAAGAAAGTGTCTTGGGGCTATTTGCTGGAACTACTGCTTTTATGATTGTGCCGGGGGGTTGATTGTTGACACTTCAGTACAGTGGGGGGCCCTCTATAGTGCCGGTACGTGCGCAGGGCGTTCACCGGCACTATAGCGGGCACCGGCACAACTGGGAATAGTGCCTCAATACTGTAGTGCCAAACGGCACTATTCGGGTGATCGATATCCCTCAGTAGTGCCGGTCTGGCACTACTGAGGCACTGCTGTTTGAGTTCATGGTGTATCGCTTACCATTTGCGAGGCCAACAGAGTAGCATGTGGATCGAGTGTGGTGAATATACTTTGTGGGCGGCAGGGGCACCCTTTTCTGAGACAAATGTGGGTTCCACTCTGATAGCTGAGTTTGCCGCGAAACCATTCCCGCATGCACGCACAGAATTCACCTTCGGAGCCAAACCCCGTGTACAGCTCCCGTCCGTGCAACTTAGTATACTTGAAAAAATATCACGTTCCTCGCTGCCTCCCTACGATGTTGCGTGATGAGACACGCCAACAAAACCAATAAACGCGCCAGCAACGAAGCGGACAAAAATAAAACAAAACAAAAAGAAAAAAACTGCGGTATAGCTGTCCCCCCCTCACTCATCAACAAACTCTCTCATGTCTGTCTGGCGCACGCCCTTAGCGGCATGTGCCGCGATCATCGCCATCTTCGCTTTCGATAGGTGGAACGCAGCGTCCCCGTTTCCACTCTCCCGCGCGGCCACCTCCAGGACGCCGAAGTGAGAAGACAGTTCACCGTAAGCCGGTGGGGCGCGGCGGCCGCCCCCCGTGTCCTCATGATCACTGTCCGTCGGCGTTGCTGCACATGATGGCAGACATCCGATCCTTGAAGTACATGCTCTTGGAGCCCCGCGCCTTCTTGCGGTCCTCCGAGGAGGAAAGATACGTGCGCCTGGGCATAAGCTTCCACTGGATGCCTGTCTCGTCCACGTTGAAGATGAACCTAGCTGGGTACTTCGCGCAAAGGCTCCTGACTTCCTCCATGCCCTTCTCGATGGCCGCTGGGTCGACACTACCAGCCTCGCCATGAAGTCTCGCACTCAGCACCTTGTTGCGCTTCACGAAGAAGTTCTTGGCCCACTTGTCACCGGCCTTGAAGTCCTCGACCCTCGCCCTCACTGCTGCAGAAGTAGCGGGCTCAGCGAGCAGGGTTGCCACGGTGGAACGGCCGAAGCTTCGAAGTACGTCCCGTGTGACGGGCATCTTGGCCTTCCGGGCTTTATCGAGCAGATCAATAACTATCTCATCCACCTGCCGGCGAAAAAGAGTATACAATGCAGAGGTTCAAGCGACCAACGGTTAGTTTCAAACGTAAGCATCTACACTGCGCGGCGCAGATACGAGGGACGACGCCGCGGTACACCGTAAACAAAGCTGATGTTTTTTAAGTGCCACTACACCCGGAAAGAAAAATTGCGGGAGGGGAAAGGGAAAGTTGCGAGGAGACGCTCGTACAGGCTACATCTGCTTACATCTGCTTACATCTGCTTGTTTGTTTTGAAAAAAAAGCGGGTGCGAATATGTACACAACAGTGCTCTTTCAATTTCAAGGACAAATAATCGGAAGGTCTATGAGTGTGGACATCGAGGACCTCAAAGGCCAAAGACATAACAAAAAAAGGCAAAGAGAAAGAAAAAAAGGAGGTGACATGAAAAAAAAAAACACCATATGATACATACGAAAAGACGAAAAGGGAAAGGCAAAGAAACAAGGAAGGGCAAAAAAAAAAAAGGTACAGCAGTAGAAATCGGCGACATGAGGGCATTTTTGAAAAATGGCGGGGAAAAACAACGTTCGAGAGGAAATTGCCAGGCATGTCGTGTACTCTACCTACCTCCGGAAAGTCTCCTCTGCGTGCGGTTTTCTGGCTTCCGTCGCCTGCAGCTGCCTTAGCCTCCAGTTCCTTCCGTTCAGCTTTCACCTTGCGGACCAGCCGTTCCGAGCACTTAAAGCGATCTGCTATCTGCTCATGAGAAATCTTGGCATCCAGCAGCTTGAGGACCTCAACCTTGTCAGCGTTGCTCAGCCGCGCGCGAGAAGCCTTCTTCCCCCCCCCTTTCTCTGTCGGACGTTTAGATGGTCCCGCCCCAGCATCAACCCCAGCTGCGGTCGCTTTGCGCTTGCCAGTCTTAGCAGCGACGCAAGAACTGCAGATAGATGCGGGATGTTTCGAAGTCACCCTCCACGCTGCCGCAAGTGCCATGGAGCCGCCCGCCACATCCTCCCTTGCAGACGTGGCCATGAGGGGCCTTCGGCGTTCTGTTCTGTTGAAGGCACAGTTCACCTTCCGCACACGGCATGGTGCGCCTCTGCGTAGAGCTGTGTTGGACTGCAGCAGCACGGTGTCTGTATTTTGGGAGTGTGGTGGTGTGTGTGCGTGCGTGTGTGAACCGGCACTATTGCGGGCTGACGTGGTGCCCAACCGGCACTATACCAGGCCCGCCCTCAATAGTGCCGTTTGGCACTATTGAGGGCGCTTTCTGTGAGGAGAGATTTTACCGGCACTATACCGGCAGTTGGCACTATTCAACCGGCACTATAGAGGGCCCCCCACTGTACTTTGGACACCGGGACGTCATACGACAACATTTGCTACATGTGCACCCGGCCTTCGAGTGTACATACATAAATACGTACATCGACACACACGCCACGACCACCTCCGAGCGTGGGCATGGCGCGACGAAGGGGGCGTTGTCGCAAAGGGGTGCAACGTAAAAAACGCAAACACGTGGGTATTTGTCTGCGATACAATATGCATCGGAAGGAGTTGTTGCGGGGCGGCGGCAAAAAGAAGTTCCCGATCGCTGCTGGTCTACCAAATAGTTCCGAGAGTTCAAATTGTTGGGAGGATTTTTCTAATCTTTGCGCAAGGAGTATTTGCCGTTTGCCCGGCGTGTTTGGTGCATCTCCGAAATATATCCTGTTCGACGACAGAGAAATGGAACCCAACGGGTCCTCGCGACATCGCTGGCGGGACATTGGTGCTGCCTCCGAAAACAAGCCGGAGCCAAGACGAAAGCAGGCACAAATCCCCGCCCTGTTGTCGGGGGTGTTTTGGGCTGGTTCAGATGCCATGCGAGCAAAATGACCACCAAACCACCAAATGGGCGGGCACAAATCTCAAAGCGGCCCTTGCGTGTTCTGGCGCGGTCTTGGATTCGTGTATGCACTTGTACAAAACAAGCCCCAAGCCGGGGAATGAGAGAAAACCGTCAGAAAATGGTGCTTGATGAAGCAGCATGTGTTGGCGAAGAGCGTTAGCTGTTGTGCCTCTTTGACAGTTGTGGATACATGAATGCAATTTGACGGACACAGGGCAGGGTTTCGTCTCGTTGGGAGCACCACAGGGTGGGTGGGAGCGTTTGACCATGGCAGACAAAAAACTCTGTGCTGTGCAGCGTGGTCTTCAGGGCGCGGCCTCATGGATCATGCTACAGCTGTATTTTTTCTCACCTGTCGATATCTTGTCTTATTCTGGGACACACTCGCACGGCACGGGTGCAAGACAGCGTTGCAAGGCAAGCAGCACCTCGGGAACAGACACACCTTTCAATTGCGCAGACGACACATTCGATGGAGAACAGCAGGGGAAAAACAGCAGAAAACAGCGTTGTGTGTTCGTGTGTGAGAGCGGGTAAGAACTCTTTCCTCTCCGTCCGTGGAGCAAAAAACGCACGTCTCGTTGGGCTAAAACACTAAAACGAGAGGCATCAATCTGCGAACAGATGGCCCAAAACAGACACGTCCTTTCATGTTAGTGATGGTCTGTGGGCGTGCAGCATATTGTTTGTTGATGCAACGACGCCAGAGAGACGGACGGGGATGGAAGGGGACCTTGACACTGAATGAAAATATGTGCGCACCTTGCCAGAAGACCACGCCTGTCGCCAACACTACACTCACCTTCCACCACCTTCGATAGAGCGGACCATCAGCCTGCATAACAGCTCAGCGGAGGCGGGTCGCCGCGGCGTACAGGCGCTGGGAGAGACGAAAAGGCAGTCTTGCCTGTCTTGCCCCTGTCCTTCTCCGAAACAGACCGACTGCCAAAAGCAAAAGAGGCTCCGGGCGCGGACTCCGGACTTCGGAGTTGGTGGTCCGGTGTTCGCGATCAGGAATATAGTGGGGTGTGGATGATTCACGGTGCTCCCTTATGTCTGTGTTACCGAGTGCAAGGCTTGCCCATTGCTGCAGCTGGGTCTCGTGCCTGCCTCTGCAAGACTTGACGGACACACAGACTAGGGTAGGGAGCTCAGCCGCATCAGGCCGGGTTAGAGGAGGGAGAGATATGCTCTGCAATACCGCGTGCCGGTTGGCCACTAGGTTGGTGGGAAGTAGAGAAAGAGGCGTTGTGGCGATTAGCAGAAACCTTGCGGTCCACGAGGCCGCATCATCGCACTTGCCCTCTGCGGCAGCAGGAGGGTCTAGGGCACCAGGAGAAGCATCAGCCGGTCGATGGAGATGGGCTTCTATGCAGGCTACGCAAACAGCAGTGGAGGGAATCACCCTTAACGTGGATGAGAAGGTCCAAAGGCTGAAGCATCGTATACCCCAAAAGCGGTGAGTTCAAAGTCTCCGGCATCTGCTCGTTCCCTCGTTGATTGCTGTATGCTACCACTATCTATGTACGTAGTACTGCTGTAATAATGACCACCTTTTTCCGCTTGGATAATCGCCGTACAGCACAAGCTTCTCTGCACACGTGCACATGGCTAGCCTTGGACTGCCGTTTTGCTGGGGGTGGCCTTATTCACTCGCCTTTGTCCGCATTCCCTCGCTTGATTGCTTCCTAGCTATAGGCCGTTAGGTGTGGCGACGCCATACACACACCTCTTCCCTCTGCCGCCGCACCGCGCCCGCCTCGTTATGGATCACGTATCATATGTATATGCACTGAAAGTCAACGTTGCGCAAACCGCAAGACTTCCCACCGCACTCGCAGCTCTCGCATGCATACGACCGCATGTTAACGGCGGTGTATCCGACTCTCTGCTGCTGCTGCGTGATCATATTCTTGGTGTGTTTGCTGTCTCGCTCGCTAGGGCCTCGTTTCTTCTCAATGAGTTGCGTCAGGAGCAGCGCAATGGGGAGAGATGTGAATTGCCAGACATGAAGATTGGGGACGCCATTGAGGTTACGGTGAGTGCCGCTCTCTGTCGTTGCGTCTGCTGGTTGTCCTGTTCGTGGAAAACGGCGGTTGCGAGAAACGAACAATGCAGCAGCCACTCCTGGTTCGAGGGTGCGTAGTACGGGCCCTCTAGTGCAGGAAGCCTTCGTGCTTTGCCAACAAAGGTCGCTCATGGCCTACGGGATGATTATATCGTTGTTGATATTGCGGTCGCCCGCAAGGCGACGGCCCGCAAGGCGACGGAAAGGTTCACTAATTCTTGGCAACCATCTGACATGTGGGACATGAGTTCGAATCTCGGTGCTTTCGCGTCCAATTTGTTGTTGTCTCACATCGTGCCCAACACGTGGGGAGATGTTTTCGTGGATACTGTACTGGTTACTACACGTTTAGACGTGGAGGTCCACAAGGATAAGGGACAGCTGAATCCTTCTCGTGGTAGCTACTCCAGTCTACAGCAGTATGAAGCGGAGGATGGCGGAGAAATGAAGGAGCGCCTGCTGGCTCAGTGAGACCCCGGCTGGTGCATCCAGATGCTGCCGTATGTATATACTGCTCTAGACAGGTTTACATCATTACAGCAGTTATAGGCCGGCTCTTTTGCCTACGAAATTTGGCACATGGGTTGAACGAAAAAGACGGCAGAAGAGGCGAGAAAAGACCCGGCCGCAAGACCCAACCTCACATCGCTCCACTACGTACAGCGGCCGCCCCCTTTAGGACTGCTGTACGCCCCTCGTCTGTGTGCGGGCTTCTTCGAGGCTGGTCGTGGTTACTGCTGTGGGTAATTTTCGGTGGAGGACGGTGATTCCGTGCGAGTGAAAAGCGCGCACTGCTGTGTGGACGTTTCGCCCGTGAAAGATCCAGCCTGACATCCGTAACAGATGGCATGGCTGATGACCATACGACAACACACAAACACAGATTCATTTACGACTCGAACGTTTTTCGCCGCCGAGTTGTTTTTGTCTTTTCTCTGTCCTATTCTGGGCGCCAGACTTGCCCTTTTTCGTTCTGTGTTGACGCACCAGCAGGGGTAACACACGAAGAACTGTAATTCTTCATCTGTCGACTTTTCCTACTGCGGTGCTTACCTTCAGTTTTGAATACGAGAAGGGCTCAGCAGTCCCTTCCCTTTTTGTTCTAGGCCCAGCCGAAAACCTTAAAATCAAAGGGAGAGTTGTCGGGAGACAAGAGAAAGAGATAGGCTCTGACCGAAATATTGGGCATTTGCTTTTCCATTGCTGGCGGCACGAGGCGTAGGCAATATCACGATATCACGACGTTGCATTAATACGAATCTGGTCTTCGGTTGAACGGTGTCATAACTACATATGCATACGCAACTCTTTTCTTCCCGTCGTCGGGATGGATACGCGCCCAGTCGGGGCCGCACCAAGTGCGCCAACAGCCATCATTCTCATAAACCCCGTCCCCTAGTCTATCTAGATCTCAAGTTTTTCAATCTTGACCGTAATTTTGTCTGAAGCAAAGGAATGGGCTTGCTAGGTACCGTGACGGAATGTGTTGGGGAAAGATAGGGTGGCGTGCTGAGGTGGTTAACTCTGTTGCCGGTGTAGGCTGATAACCAAGAGAGGCAGGGCCTGCGGATATCCTTCGCTTTACTGTACTTGTGCCACCCCGAAACACTAGGCATCACGAAAATGAAAAACAGTGTACGCAAGGATTTCGTTGCCTTACGCCGCAACGCTTAACAAAGCGGACTAATTACACCTAATGAAGTGTAAAACTGTCATGCGTCGTCAAATGTTTTTTAGCGACTCCGCGCCGGGCATCGACCGATTGAACTTGGTACAAAATGTTGATTGCTTGCGTAGGGTTATTCCGTACTCCATACTGAGGTATCACGCAAGGCAACGAACATATGGATGAGCGATAATAAGGTTTTCGTTCTAACACCGCTCGCTGGCTTTATCCGGAAACATTGAAACGTTCTCTTCAGAGGTAAATAATCCCACCTACACCAGTATTATGTAGAGGATCCACCCAACCAGCCAGAGTGGAGAAATTTACAGTCCTCCAGCTGCCTACGACGCTCGTAATCGATTACACGCGACCTTTCAACAGCCGCCTGTTTTTTTGTAAATCTTCCTGCATGCGAAACACAAGACCTGTTGTATGCGACAGCAACACCGGCGAGAGTACGAAGTCTGCTTTGACCTCGAGCCATCCACCATCGGTATCTTGACTGGGCATGGAGCATGCTTCTGCTAACCTCTGTCGAATATCCATTTTATGATTCTGTTTTTCACGCGCGTTTGGTTGTGGGCTATTGTGAATATCGTGCGCACGCATGGTTGACGAGTAAACGATCGCGCAGATCGAACATGTCGCAAACGTACGTACGCGTGGGGTTGGCTGCGGACCGCGTTGTGCGCATGGTTTGATGCAACCAAGAAATGAGTTGCTTTGTTTTCGAACCAGGTCTTTCGAACACCACAGGGAGATATGCGCCGGTCGCCCCGGTGGTCTAGTTGGTATCCTCGAAACCTTCTAGAGGTCAGGTCAGGGGTTCGATTCCCGGCGTAAGCGAGCTTTTCTTGCAAAGTGAGTTTTTTTCTCGCTTCCGCTCCTGGCCTAGTGGATAGCGCTAGTTCGTGTGTACACGGAGGGAAGAGAGTGCTGAACTCTTCTCGCATTAAAAATCACAGGCAAAGTACCGCAGAAGGGGAGGGTTGGAGTAAACGGCACTAGTGCTGTGAGCGCTGATTTGAAGTGAAGACAAAAAAAAAAAAAATGTAGATAGATGCTCCTCGAGGTCCGAAAGAAATGGAGAATACGCCACACGTGAATAATTGCACATACATACATGGGACCAGAGGGAGGATTGCCTATGGTTGATATTGCTGCGGTGAATGTACGGGTTTTGCTGTACGTATGGTTGACGACGAGGAATATCGTGAAAATTGCACATACATACATGGGACCAGAGGGAGGATTGCCTATGGTTGATATTGCTGCGGTGAATGTACGGGTTTTGCTGTACGTATGGTTGACGACGAGGAATATCGTGAAACGGCTGTGTCTTGCGCGTGGATGACTGCGGCGTTTATCGCAAACAGTTGATGTCACCATCCGCAAGTGATCGATTAGTTTCGTAATTTCACGTTCGTGAGCAACATTGTGAGGCAGACAGAGCACACCATCCTGGTGGGCGATGGCAGGGAGTAAGAGCTGACTCGGTTTTTGGTCTTCAAGTCCAGAGAAAGAACGAACCCATGGCCTGCCTCAATTTTATTTGAAAACAGAAAATATAGCACGCGAAGACCGGAATGCCGCTCCCTGCTGGTTTTTTTTTTTGCCAGAAATGGTAGAAGATGACGTCACGCACGTGGCCGCTTGCCCGTGTTTGCTGCTCACATTCATAAGTTCATACCGCACGCACTGCGTACCTCATATGCCGCTTGTGCAGCTCTACCGTAGTACGCGCTGATACCTCCCTAAGCGTGGGCCATACAAGTGAAGGTCGCTAGGTAATTGCACGCTTGGTAGGCTCTTGTATTGCGCCCTTATGCATTAAAGAGGCAGCAACCAACCACACGCTGCTCATCCTTATCTCTCGTCGTGTTGACTCCTGTTACATCTTGCCGCACACACTACGCCCTCACTCAGATCACGAAGCCTTAAAGAGACGGACGCCCCGCTCTTCTCTGAGCTATAGTAGTCAATTCGATGTGCGTTTGCTGGCGGTAGGCTGACCCGGAGAGGTGTAGTGCTGCTTAAAGCGAGAGCTGTTTTTCTTGCCGAGCGGCGGTTTTTTCTCCCCTCGATTATACAAGATACTGCTGCTCAGAAATAGAGGCTCACACATTGCAGGCCTATCATACGGCCATTATCATCTGGTATGGTTAGCTCAAACGAGCGCTGTGAGTGGCGTCCTGAACAAATGTCGTTGTGATGGGCTGAGGGAGCAAGACGGGGTGGGTAGGGTGATGTGCCGTTTGGAATTTTCACAAACCCCATGTATAACAGCGTGTTGTCCAGTGTTGTTCCACCCTCAGACCACTCTCATATTTCCGCCGCGCGTGATCTCTGATACACCCACGAGGTTGTTTGTGTCTTGCAGTACCGCATGAAGCCCCACGGGTTGTCTCAGGGTGTACCCCGCGAATCAACTGTTGCTCTAAAGAACAAACTGATTGCAACCAACGGTTGCCTTAACGTATGTGTTGTCCTTTGCCATCGCTTCAGACACCAGGGTTGGATGGTCTGGAACGAAATGTGTGGAAACGCCACAAGAAAGAAGTTTGATCCTAGGCTGACTTGTTTTTGGAGGGCATTGGTTCAGTATATCGGCTACAAGTTTGTGGATAGTGACGTCAGGGGCATGACCACTGCTGTGTCGTCATGCGGACTTTTCCTAGACACTCTGACCTGCCCCAAGGTGTAGCACCCACCGGGTCTAAAACATGAACATCTCCGCACGCAACGCCATGAAGCAACATTTTCCAAGCGTACGTTCCTGTGAACTCATCGTTCCTGTTGTTTTTGTTTATACCATGTCCCAGATGTATGCAAACAAGAAAGCGACACGGACGAGCCAAGTTCGAGGAGTGCTCTTGCGGAAGGTGGGTGGACAATTCCATGTTGAGTACTGCTGTAGGTGTTGTGCACGGCTCCGGCGTTAGGCCTAAAAAAATGTGACGTCCGGGCGTGTATGCAATCAGACCGTCATGAACCTTTGCTCTATCAACAGCAAGGTATTGACGGTGTTCTTGTTGGGTGTTTAGGCCCGCTGGTCAACCCTTGAGTGCGTTTCTCGCCAGATTCAGCTGCGAAGCTTCGACGCTAGATTCGAGGCGTCGCTCAGTCCGTCACGTCAGGCGAATGGATCGTTTCAAGCACCAAACTTGTAAACGACCCAACAAACGTGCATCGCTGTGGGTTTGGCGGCACTGCAGGTGAACAAGGGTATCGACTCTTCCATACTGCTCAGGGACGTCATCAACGGCAACCCGGTCGAGCACCACATTCCGCTGTTCAGCCCGTTGATCCAATCCGTCGAGGTGGGTGGTTGTTCATGTAACACGAGTTGCGCGTTTGGTTGCATGCATGCATTACGGCACATCGTGCAGGACGAGCAAGGTGAAGAGAAAAACGCATCTTGTATGATGACCGCCTATGTGACCCCGGCCGGTGCGTCTAAACAAGACACGCCAAAGGTGTAAAGCTGATGTAAAACTGACCTCGCGAGTAAATTGGGTGACCACACACGCAATCCAAGACAAATTCGTCCGTTTTACATGCACCGTTTAGTTTATCATCGTTCCTAGAGGAAGATCATCAGCGCATCTAAACCATGGTGTCCATTGCCGCACGCCACCTTTGATACTGTTGATACCGCGTTTCAGGTGATGGAGACGGCCTTCATATACCAGGGCAAGTTGAGGGGCAAGCGTGTACGACCGGCACGTATTTACTACATTCGGGATCTGGACCAGAAGCTTTACCGAATCACTGGAGGCGGTGGATCAGATAACTAGCTAGCTGCAGGGGTTGGAAATGTGTTTTTTGAAAGCCCACAAAAAGGGAGTGACCTCGATGTGCTACAATTCGGGGGCATCGTTAGCGAAGGCCACGTTGGGAGCGAGCGGTATCACAATACTTAAAGACCTGCCTTGCCTTGAAGGACTGCAGATGTATCACGTCTGTCGTTATCTTCCGGGGTCTGTCGTAAACGCACCGTTCCACGAGGCCTGAAGAGGAACATAGACGACAATGTCCGAGCCTGTTTATGACAGCTACCAACTTCACCTGGACTGCAATAGCCACGGGTGACTCGCCACGAATATGTTCGTGTAAAGACCACACCTTTGTTCCGAACCAGACATAGAAACGCGAATCTCACATCCCCTTCGCCCACGTCCCATGAGGGTCTTCACCCGGGCGATGCTTTAGATGCAAATGTGTGGCAGGCGCCGAAATCGCCGTCTTCATTACCATCAATCAACCACAGGAGTGCACATTGACGGCAACAAGAACTTGCAACAGCCTAGTCTCTTCATGTTTTCGGTGAAGTAAACATTTCAGGTCACGAAACATCCTTCCCCACTTTTTATTATCCTCCTCATTTTCTCGTAGAAGCAGCGAGAGAAACGCCTAAAACACCCAACATATTCATCTGCTGGCTCCAGTGGATTTCTCCCCCTGCCTTGCTGTGCTTGACGCCGTGATAATCCCCTGTCGTGTCACGGGCGTCTCCGCCCCATGTCGTTTCTCGCTCTACCCTCCTCGATCGCCGACAAAACCTCTATCGCTGCCTCTGTGATCCGCGTTCCCGGTCCGAAGATAGCCTTCACCCCCGCCTTCTTGAGGAAGTCGTGGTCTTGGGGGGGAATGACGCCCCCGCACACGATGATGATATCGCCCGCACCAAGAACTCGGAGAGCCTCGATCAACTGCGGGATGAGAGTCTTGTGCCCAGCGGCCTGCGAACTCACGCCCACCACTGGGGCGGACAAAAAGGAGGAAAGAGAAGGCAACACGAGTTACCACCGTTGTGTGACATGTGACACACTACCCGTAGGGTTGCAATCGAACGGCAACGACGTCATTACGCACCACACACACAACTGGCAATGATGTTGTAGACCCCGGCCGACGAAAGCTCTCTTGGTGGCTGACTACAGAAGTGCCGATAGACCATGGCCACGTCTGCAGAAACAACGAAAACAGTCCGCGTGTGCTTCAGCGGGGAAGACAAAAAACATTATGAGCATACGCCGTAAAACCAAGCTTGAAAGGCTAAACGAAAACCTGCCCCATGTAACGTGCGGTTTTCGTACGACTAAAGAACAGGTTTGACACATTTCGAAACAAGTGATGAGCTCTCCCACTCACCGTGAACATCACTATCGACCGCCTGCTGGGCTACCTCCTCTGGTGTCTGAGAAGGAAGGAAAGGGTACCGGAGGGAAGTGGTGATGGAATCAGAGTATCGACCGGCGAGTTGCAATGTGAGTTGGGTTAACGTTAACGGCGCAAAAGACAAGGCGAGCGTGCTGTATATCTCAGTATGCAGTGTGCGAGCATGCATCTCACCACGCCAACACGTGGCTATCTGTAAGGCATTAATTCACCTGGAAAAGGGGGCCGACGTCCACGTCGTACCCTAGATCGGAGAAGGAGCTTGCGATCACTTTTCCGCCACGATCATGTCCGTCTTGCCCCATTTTCGCCACCTGGATGCCACCCAAAAACGAGAGACAGACAGAGACAGACAGACAGACAGGAAGGCAACATATCAGGTTCGTTGTGCACTGTGCTCAACCGAGAACACCGCAGGAGGTTCTCGTTCAAAAGACCCTCTGTTTGGCGGGGGGGGGGGGGGGGGTCGCGCATGCGTGCGGGGGTGGGTGGCATTTGGGAAGGGGATTACACGGCCCAGGGGAGGGTCGTAAAACCAAGCACCCACAGGTACGCGCACATGTGCATTGTTGGTTTCGAACGCACCAGGATACGGGGTCTTCGCCCTGCTTCCTCGGCGAAGGCCTCCACTCGCTCCAGCACTCCCTTGTACTCCGCCTCCTGGGGTTCCCAGCGAGCATGAAATACGGCAGAGGAATGTATGACGCGAGCGTTCTAGGGGCCAAACCACTATTTAGTTTCGTTTCAAGAGGTTTTGAACGATCGATTCGAACACGATGTGCGTGTCTCGGCGTTGTTCGTCGTAGACCCGCATCGAGTGACAACTGAAAACCGTGAACATAAAATAAATACCGGTTCACCAGGACACGGGGCCGACAAACGGCAGCGGAACGAAAGTATGATCCATCGGTTTTGTGCGGGGAGCTTGAAGTTTTTCTTGATGGGAACAAACCAGGAAACTCGCATTCATCCCAAAACACAAAAAGAAGCGCTTACCTACCTGGATAACTAGGACAAAACCCTAGCTCTTGGATCAAGCTGAAACCGAACCTCACCTCGTCGGGTTCGTCGAAGCTAGCGCTGTAAGCACCGCGCACCACGGCCGTCGACGGTCTGTGACGACCCCAAGACTCTTCAAGGGCAGATGAAATCTCGCCGAGAGTGCACCTGCGGTACGTACAGCAGTAGATCGGAGAGTACCCTGTATGAGACTATGCATCCTCCGGTTCGAGTAAGGCAAATAATACGTCAGTCTCGGACATCTACAAAAATGACAGCAGTGCAGCACCTGGCAGGGCAAACGTTCCCGGACACACCTTGCTTTGGCGGCGTCGATGCTGAGCTTGACCAAGTTCATCGGATGTTTGCCGTCGCTAGTGACCCCCGTGCTGGCCGCACTAGCCCGAAGAGCAGCGAGGGCGGCGTCAACGCGATTGTCATCGCGGTCTTCTTTCAACTGACGAATACATGCCAGGTGCCAGGGGCGGAGCAAAGATAAGAAGATGAAATAAATCTGTGTTTTGTGTTGCGCACTTGTTCTCCTCGTGATGGCCAAGAGCTTACCGCCAACGCGCCGGCAATGAATGCGAAAGAAAACAAACACATATTGCTGTATGGAGACGAACCTTACGCAAGCGCTGGACCTGCTGCTCCCTGACGGCCGTGTTGTCGACCGAGCGCACCTCGACACCAGCTGCGGAGCAGCAATACATCGCGAGTACAGCGTTGGACACGATCAACACAAAGCAGTCGAGGCAGTTACACTCGAAAAGCATCACTACAGGTATAAGCAGCTGAGCAGCAAAACGAGTGCAGTACCATGTCTCTCGATGTGATACAGCGCACTCAGTCGAAAAAGTACACCACCTGTATCTCGGGGCCGCCTTTTGCGCAACCGTCCCATTGACTACATCGGCAAAGGCAAATTCAGCGGCCAGCAGCGTCACTATTGAAATCGAATCAGTTGGAGCGGCTGCCGATGGCCGACGGAAGCCAAAGCGGACTAGAAACGAAAAGCGAAAGTAAGCAAGGTTGAATCGAGAGCCCCATGCAGGTCATCGTCCATGTCTGCTGTGATGGCAACTTAACTACGGTATACTTCTATATGTTAGCAACGGTAGCAGACAGGGTGTTATGGTAGTGAGGTGTCCAGGAAAATTCATTCTGAGTGCCTCGGTCCCTTCCACAAGAATTCAGTAGTTATTATAGTGACATCGGCAAAAGCTCCCACTACAACCCAGTACTGGTACGTGGTCAGATAGCGTTCTAAAAGCTTGACTCACACTCTCCCTCCACGCGATGGCAGTTGACTCCCACGATCTTGTCTTGTCCAGAGTCGATCCGTGCCTGTCAAACGGCCAGGCGATCGGAAGGAAACAACGGAGAACATGGACTCGCTCGAGTCTAACGTGTCATGACACCGAGCCATGCGCGCGAAAAATGACGTGGAGCAACAAACCACCCAACCGCTAACCCCTCTGCAGCACAAGGGGGATAGGTTCACCAACAAACGCTTTCTCTCGGGCTGCCGGCAGAAGCTGAACCACAGCCGGGGGTATACTGCAGCCCACCTGCGCCCTAGTAGCCGCCTCTTCAATGCGCAGCTTCGCGGCGCCGCTGTCGATGAATTTCGTCATCCCACCAGCTTCGTCCACCTGGAACAAAGAGTCAAGGTCGCGCACAAACATGGTACAGAGCGCAACAATAAACGTCCACAGACAAATCATTCAACGCGTCCGTTTTCCCTTGCCTTGTTCCCTCTCAGCTTGGCATGTCTTTTGGCCAGGCCAGAAAATGCACCACAACTACACACCCACCCTACCTCGTCGATGATGTCTTTGGCCGCTTGCACCATGTCTTCGGTGAGGCTCTCCATCATGTACGACCCTCCCCAAGGGTCCGCCACTTGAGTAATGCGGGTTTCCTCCTGGCTCGCAGAGGCGACGGGCACGGGCAATTCGAAAATACCGCTATATTATACCGGGAATGAGGGATCTAAGTGAACCGAAACTAGTGCAGCGCAGCGCGGTATGAGTCTTGATGTCGACACTATCAACCACGGGGAGTTTTTTTTTACTCTGCATCTCGAGGCACAACATCAGCCAGCTCCAACAAACGCTTCCAATTCACACGTACCTGAAGCACGAGCTGTGTGTTCCGGGCAATACGAGCACTGAATTCCGTGGGGAGGCCCAGAGCTTCGTCGAACGAGTTGGTATGGAGGGACTGCGTGCCTCCCAAGACGGCCGCCATGGCCTCCACGGTGGTGCGCATTACGTTGTTGTGCGGGTCTTGTTCTGGAATCGCATACAAGCACAACAATCAGACCGGCCGGTTCGATGAAGACAGGACATCTCAAGTTTATCACCTCGGAACCCACACGCAAACAACGCGCCCACGCCAACGATGGTCTCCAACACCTCAAACACACCAGATGCTGTCAACCGGTCGGTACGGCCTGACAGGGGTGAATGGCGACATGAAACCAAGAACGCAAGCAATTGAGGGCGACTCGGCGGCTCGAACATATACTCCCGGCACACGAGATACCTGTAAGGGAGTATCCGCTGGTTTGGCAGTGGGTTCGGAGGAGCAACGACTTCGGGTTCTTGGGCTGGAAGCGCTCCTTCACTAAGCGCGCCCATAGCACCCGAGCGGCACGGAGCTTGGCCACTTCGAGGTAAAAGCTCATTCCGATGCAGAAAAAGAAGGACAGCCGGGGAGCCACCTAAGCCAAATCCAACAGGGGGTGGGAGAAGGGTTAGAATTATGCACGGAAGTCGAGAAGTCTGTCTCCCCCAAGCCAGAATAACACTCAGCCACAGCATTTAGGATGCAGAAAAAGCCCTCAAGCACGCTTCTCGGCACGCAGGTCAAGAGTATGGCTATTCTCATACAGCAGTGGACCACATCAAAGACACTTATCCAAGCCCCGCGAGAAAGCAGGCAAACATGAAACACTCTGTGTGGTCACCTTGTCCACGTCCAATCCAGCGTCCTTTGCGATTTGGAGGTATTCCAGACCGTCGGCAATGGTGAATGCCAGTTCCAGCTTCCCGTCTGCCCCGGCTTCTTGCATGTGGTAGCCGCTTACACTGATGCTATGCGGCGCGTCGGGTGTGTCAACAGGAAGGGGTTTCGCTCCCATTACACTTTTTGCCGCCAGCACCGGACTGTCTAGATGGCCACGTTCACCAGACGGAGAACCGTTCTTTGAACGCGCAGAGGTGTGTTGACATACACCATTACAGTCTAAGTGATTGATCGCCATATCTCCATGCAATGCAAAGAGCAAATCCAACCGTGACAAACCTGTTGTACTTGGGCATATGCTCAGATGTGTATCCGAATATGTCTCCAATGATTCGCATGGACGGTTCCGGTGGATAGATGAAGGTGTTGCGCACCATGAACTCCTTTAAGACGTCGTTTTGGATGGTGCCCTCCAGGAGATGCTGCTCTACGCCTTGCTCTTCGGCTGCCGCCACATACCTGAGGTGTTCAAGCAGGTTCAGCGAAATGACAACCTGAAGTGTACCACTAACAATGTGTGTACCAAGCACGGGCACCTGCATAACCGTAACGTCTTTGTCGTATTGATAACGTCGACCCTGCGTAATATTCTGCTTGTTCGCTACGACCTGTTATGCATGGAGCATTGAGAACGATGACAAGCGTTTGCGCATGAGTCAGGTCTCATCAGTCGAACTTTTCTGTGCAGAACACTCATCCTATCAACAAGTGACCGTCACTACGTACATACAATCGCTGACACACTCACATTGCGAGCACTGGCAACACTGCGCCATTCATCGTCATTGACACGGACATTTTGTCCAAGGGAATGCCGTCGAAGAGGATCTGAGATACGGCACAGCAAGAGAGTGTGACTATAGGTAGAAGTAATGAGCGACATAGACGGGAAAAGGGGGCCGTCTGCTGACGGGTGTCGCACGAGAGAGAGATGGGGTACTGCATCGAGACTTCCCAACTACCAGCACAAAGGCAAGGTGTGCTTTGCTGCTGTGGCGAAGGGCGTGAAACACGGGTGAATCACCCAAGACGGTACAAACCTATTCGAGTGGCTCACTCCGTGCTCACGAACGGAGGCCGAAGACGACACGCGCGCTACGCCACACCATCTCTGAAAACACATTGCATCGACATGCTGCGTATGCACGTCGGTCTGCCTTGGTGGCGAATAGCTACTGTATCGATAACTACCAAGCGCGAGCAAAGTTGTGCACACGACGCCCCACCTTCATATCCTCTATAGAGTCGATGGGCACACCAGCCATGCCCACGTCACCCGTTACACGAGGATGATCGGAATCGTAGCCTCTGTGCGTCGCGAGATCGAACGCGACACTCAGTCCCTGTTGCCCTGCGAGAAAACAACGGAATGATGAGCACTACCCGCGTTTACAAGGGTGCATGGATACATGTAGCTCCTCCATGTTCGTTTTTTCTTGCAGTGGCACTTCTGAGCAATGAGTTTTTTGGAGATTCCTCAAGTATCCGAGCTGGTGCGATGGCCTACTTCCATTTCCAGCGTCTGTCGTCCTACACGCTGCTTTTCGTCTTTCTTCTAGGAACGTTCGCCTTTTCGCATGTGGTGGGACTTTCTCTGGGTCTGGTCCATTTATACTCCTTGTTCGGGGAGATAGCTTGTGTCTACCGAAATTCGCTGCTTTACCTTGAAGAGGAAGGAATAGTTCAATAGTTGCGCCAGATTGAGTTGTAGTAATTGATGGGAAAATTCCAGGTCATAAAAAGAATCCTCTGCGGAAACGATAAGCTTACTTTGACCGCTGACAAGGGCTGAGCAACCCCCTTGCCTTCTATCTCTCGCTCACACTTCAACAGTTCGACTGTGTCATACGGTGTCACATCGAGACTACAACCTGCTGTAGGGATCGGCAATACACAACGGTTTCGAGAATCCTACTTGACGACCAAGGGGGTCACACTGTGCTTATCTGAATGCAGAAAGCAACCAACCATTGGGAGAACCACCTTGTTTGCTTTATCTCACCGGCGGCTAGGTTTCGCCTGTAGAACGCATTGGACTCCTCGGCAGTGCTGAACCCGGCGTACTGCCGCACAGTCCACGGTCGAGCGGTGTACATGGTCGCGTATGGTCCCCTGTGGTAGGGAAATAGCCCTGGAGCATCCTGTTCGGGGTCAGCCACCGCCTCACATCGTCCCAAATCGGCCGCACAGTAGAGAGGCTTGAGCGTGATCCCCTCTGGAGTGCGGCGTTCCAGCGACTCGACTTTGGAGCCCTTGAGCTTTTTCTCAGCCGTTTCGACCCAAGCTTCCGGGTATCCTACATGTAGTTCATCGAAAGTGACCAACAACGTCGAATATATGCCATATTAGTCTAGACTTGGAATCCTGTGAACTTGTTCACGGGCTTGAATGTGCTCACAGCAGGTAGTTGGAAGCTAATCTCTTCCGCACAAGCAAATAAGTGCCAGTGCTCATGTATTCGGAAAATACAAACACAGAAAGAGTACCCGTTCGAGATATAACCACAGCAGTCGAATGTCCGCTGTTTCTGTATTTAGTTCAACTTGAACCCTGTCTAGCAGCTCTATCTGTCATCGTCAGTTCTTACAATTTTTACTGCCTTCCATAGATGCACCGGCGTGTGCCGCGTGCTATCGTTTTCAACAAAGTTCCAACAGCCCTCGACTGGGAACCTTGGTGTGTTAACTCCCTCTTGGTACAGTGGTCACCTTCATACTGCTGTAGATTACAGCTTGGTGTTTGGGTGAACGAACATGTGAGTGGGCGTGACAACGGATATCATACTTTTTATACACGCTAGGTTGGCCAAGGCGCCATTGTAGTTGACGAAACGATGCAGACTACTGCTGTAGGCACTGCACGAAGTAGTAGTTTCGTATCTCACAAGCATTGCCTGAGAAATGCTTGCGCCCTTGTGTGGAGTGTGGAGTACGCCTGTGGTTGCCGTGAACTTCCAAAGGGAGACTGCCCCCACCTGCTGCGCCTGTTTTTTTTGCGCTGAAGCTCTGGGCCATCCCAATTCCCGGCTTGCTGCGACCCCGGCATGCCACCTCGCGAAACAAGCGAAGGGGACGGAACCTATACATGTGGCTTTTTTTCTTGGACACAGCGGATCACGGCGCAGCAGCACCTAAGATACTACAGTACGTGCTGCACCTGATGGTACATCCTCGGGACTGCCGGGGGGAAGAAAGAGAAAGACGCCTCCCTCCGTATTTCGGGGTAACGAGTCGTGAGCCTGTGTGCAAATCGCAAATCGTCTGTTGTCGGTGTGTTGGATGTGTCGTGTCGGCCTTCTCCCAAAGACCGCTGATGTAAGGGAGTACGTCTCCACATGCATGTCCCTCATGCGCTCTGAACATAGCGTACTGCAGTCAGCCTGCCTTCGCTCTCATACTCTCGACACACCTCGAGACTCTCGACGTGTGGGGAAAGCGTTGTAGTACATCTAGATAGACCACCATAAGCAGGAACAAATACATTTCTACCGCCGGAGGAACTTGTGAATCTTCAACTACGGGTGAAAGTTGCGTCGATCAGGAAATTAAGGAATGATAAATACACACACAGAAAGACTAGACTACCCATTCAAGATATATCCACAGTCGAACGGGATGTGGTGGAGTCTTTTCAGTGAGTAACAAACACAGAAAGACTACCCAATTCTACACCCATTTATACGAATTACACACAAATCAACAAATTCCCCCGAAAGCCCAGACGTCTACGGAGGTGCAAGATAGCTCACGTGCCTGTAGTGAGACGGCGTCAAACCTTCGGTAATTCGCTCACAGCATGCTATCGCCATGAACAAGCAACACCACTACTGTACAGTAGAAGTCTAGCCGTCGCAGGGTTTTTGTTGGTTCAAGCTCCAAGCATGCAATGGGGGAGGTTGGGTTAGGGTTAGGGTCTGCGTACCCCTCCCTGTTCTATTTCCTCATTAACTTCGTTTCTCGCGCAGGCGGTCCAGCAACACCTGCGCGGGTACTCGATTACCAGACTAGTGTTACTCCTAGTTTACGCATACATACACGCGAGGGAGGGACGTCGGGAAAATGATCGATGTGCGTGAGCGCAGATCGCACAACTAAAGTAAGGCGTTGTTAACAATCCACCTGCTCCATGCCCACATGTTGCGCCCGCTTGTAGTTGCGCATCACCTTCGAACTATGGTAAAGCTGTACTCAGGGGCTGCTTGAAAAAGGAGCACTTCTTGTGGAGGTGCGCAAGCACAGCCCACCGTCGGGCCAGCAATACCAATTGTAGACGCCATACCAAGTGTTACAGAAACAACCCTACAACCCAGTACCTGCAGATTGCTTGTGCAACTCTTTTATCTCTTCTTCAAGGACAAGGGGACGCAGTCGAACATGTTGTACATGCTCGACATGACGCTGTCCGTGCCGAGGTCAACCGCTGGAAATATATCGTTCAACGCCTCGACAAGAGCTTCCTCCGCCGCGAAACAACGAACGCTTGCCCCAACCAACCCATGCTGAGGGCGGGGGTGCGAATCAAACAGCAGCCATTGTCGGGTCGAAGGTGCTCCTGTGGTCGCAGCACCCCCTTCTGCTTGGCTCTCCGCAGGCAAAAAGCAGACCACCTGAGGTAGTCGAGCAAAGTTCCAGCGGGTTCATTGGACTCATACTCATGTGACTTTTCCTCCACACAACCTCACTCACTATTTAGTGAAATGCTCTTGGAGCGATGCAGAAAATTCAGATCTGTCACCATTCCGGGACAGAAAACTGATACATGGAGGTAGACGTCTTCGCGGGCAACTCCGCTATAACAATACAAACAACAAGATGGGCAATGTTGAACGCACACTGAAGGATGGCTATAACAAAACAAGCAGTAGGGCAGTGCCCTAGCGCGCCTCACCGTTTCCGGTGGCTTCGTGATCACGACCGCCACAGGCCTGCTTTGATCTCGCCGCTCACCCCGAATCTCTCCAAGAACTCTGGCTATTGACGTGTCCGAGCCAAGCAAACCCTGATGGGTCACTTTATCGGTTGCGGGCTGCAGTGCATCATGATATCTGCATCACACAGAAATCAGCAACTTAGTTGCTGTCAGCAAGTCAACAGAGATCATGTGTCAGCCTCGAGCACGCACCAACGCAGTGCCAGTCGCAGCCGCACAGAAGCCATCATTTCACGAACCTTCGACCTGCTCATGATTTTGAACACATTTAACATCTCCAAGAAACAGGCCACCATGTCACCTGGCAACAGTTGCGAGAATTTCAGCGACAGAAGTGTGCTCCACCGCAAGCGTGCCAGTGGCTGCCACTGCTTCGTACATGGCCACCCCAGTGTTGACGCAGTTCTGAACGAGGCCAAACAGATGATACAGCGTGATGATCGGCCAAGTGTAGCGCCGATGCTGACAAACGTAATCCTACCAAAACAGAGAAAAACACAATACCAGAAATACCCCCACAACCGAACCATCCGATCGTCCACCACAACAAACATGTAGTTGCGGAAGAAATTTGAAACAGGAGAACACGGGAGACTCACCGCTACATCGTCTGGTGAGCCAGCCCACGCGGTGCCATCACCCAAACGCTCCAGAACCGTCAACGAAGCTTCCAAGCAAATGCATGTGCACGAAGATCTCCCGTTCTGCACGTCATACTGGCTGATCGAAGCAGAGACAACCTGGATCAACGTGTGTGGTGTTACTGAATGTACACAATTCATGAAGCTTGCTTGAGAAGATACAGGCATGTCCCTAGGGCGCAGAAGTTGAGAATTTACTAAATGGAGCCGTAGTGTGCAATACCTAGCCTAGCGCAGTTTCCCACCAAATCCGCGCATGACGAAAAGTGCTGCCTTCGATAACCGTGTGCAATCGTTGTCAGCGCTGACAAAAACTGATCCAGTAGCCGTTCCTGAGGGATGGTAGCTCCCTGGCGGCTTTTGCTGGTAACTCCACGACACGCACGGCTATGCCGGGTCCGGGGTAAGGGGGCGGCCGTGCCCTTGCGAGTCTTGAGAAGATGCCGAATTGCACCAACTTCGAAAAAATGGTGTCGATATTCATTTTGTGCGAGCCCACAGACTGCACTCCCAGACTAGCTCCCTCTTGCGGGGGGCATTTTTATGCCGTTCTCATGTCTGGCGAGCGTCTGGCGTTGGGGAAGTCAGGGCAAGTCGACACCCTCGCGCGGTGCTCTGTTCTGCGTACCCCGACCCTCCCTCCCCACAATTTTCGAAAGCTCACTTGGCCGCATGTGGGTCATGCGTTGATCACACAAAGCACTAAATGCGTGCGTTTCCATCCCATCAATTGAAGCCGCCAGCTTATGTCTTGTGGTGTGTTTTTCGGACGCACCAGCTGGCGTCACACCGGAGGATGACACAGGACTTCTCCTTACGTGTACCTCCTCCGCCCTTTCCCTCGTCGACGGTGACATCGATTAGCATCGTACCCGGAATACAAAGAATGTGTTCGTGTGATGAGATGTGTAGTCCATTCTGTCGGCGAGACGTCTGCTGTTTCAGGTGTTCTGCATATAGTGATCCATGATCCATGGGGTTGTTTCCCCAGAGCATGATGCACGGAGTCCCCCACGTCAGCTAGCCCGAGGGCACTCTCTCTTCCTTCCTCCAACCCGGTGGTCTATTGTAGTCAAACGCCTGAACGCCTAAACATCACTTGGTGTAGAATACACGATACTGCGAATAAAAACATAAAACAATAGTGATTGATTAGCGTTTTCGTTCTACCTATATTCTGGACGCCAGTCTAGAGTTCGGGTGGATTGTGCCAAGCTGCTTAAGAGAGTCCCACCTGAACATCCACTTTAGGCTGTCGAGTGCTTCTGCGGCCACCGATAAGAGAGCAGTTGCTCCGCATCAACAGATGTTCTTATGTTGTTTGTTTATTCGCTGATTCCCAATTCGTGTGGCTACGCCCCTACTTGTACGTATGCATATGTAATGCTATGGACAGATGGACAGCACAGCAGTGGTATCCACAGCAGTTCTAGGCAAGGATGCAATACGCAATACACTCTGTGGGGCTTGCCTGGTGTGGAGCTGGAGATGCAACCCCAAGCAGTACGTCCAATGCACCAACTCCATGCGCCTCCACAGCAGTCCTTGCCTCGTCCTCGGAGAAACCCATGGTGACGAGCTGTTCCAACGAAGCCATCCCAATCCTCCTCTTGAGAACAGAAGCAGGAGGAGTGCGGCGCATCTCCCGCACTGGCACCCTAACCGTTGTTCCGTTGTTGTTGTAACCCTACCCAAACAGGGACCCCCCATGTGCTACAGCAATATCCTAGCGATGGGCCCCCATCACGCTTGCTCTCTATTGTGTTTTGCTGCAACCCAGCTCACTGGACTGCCGCTGCGTGCTATACCTTCTTCCCCAGCTGCTGTGTGTGTACTTGTGCCACCACTGCTGCTGCAGAGATTCCGAGGCTAGATTTGAAGGCTGCTATGTGCAAGGAGGAACCTGATGGCGAAGGGAAGATACCGCGGTCGACGATCAGTGCAACGTACTTGGAGAGACATCACTGCAGCGGAGATGTGCACCGGCGGGTTTCTGGGCAAGGGATCTCAACTACTAGCACTGCTGTATTGGCAACTAGCAGCAGGGCTGACCGAGGGACTGAGACTACTGGAAATACCGATGATAGCATCAACCAGGGATTTAGGGAGAAGGAGACGGCAGCCGAAGCAAGAACTCCTCCCGCCATGGAGCGCAATCTATTTCTGAGCGCGCTCGCGAACGGAAAACTTGAGGTGATGCGGACGTACGCTGCGCAATAGAGTCACCCAGCCCTCCTAGTTCTACCTTGTCACCATGGCCATTGACAGCAATCTTGAGTTGTGCTTATTCGTTGAGTCGTTCAACCCTTGCTGTTCGGAGCTTTGCCGCATCCGTCACGGCTGCTACATACATATCTATCCCCTACAATCGCGCTGGCGTTCACCGCGTATCATCATCCAAAACAATGAAGTAACACGCACCTTCCTCAGACCTCAGGCTGCTACAGGCGGCATGCACTTCCCTTTGATCATGTTTGGGCTTTGCTGCTCCTGCGCTGTTGATTCTACCGCTCCGCTATTTTAGCACCACCGCGATGACGTGGTTATTACTCTGAAGCGAGTAGTCGCGGGTGGACTGGCCGGCATGCTGGCAAAGTCAGTGGTGGCACCGGTAGATAGGATCAAGATCCTCTTCCAGGTCACCAACGAGAGGTTTAGCTTCAAAAAGGTGTGTGACCATGCTGCCGCTGTTGCACACGTGTGATTTTAAGACAGTGATGGACAAAGCAGCGTGTGGGGTGAAGGGCCGCTGTTCTTGGCACAGATAGAACATCGAAATGTTGTGCCTGCCATGAATCGGTCTACATATTCCCGCCCTATAAGAGGGGCCACAACCATGCAAGTAGAGAAGTACTTGTTTTGGCGACACTCATGTGCCGACGTTGGCCCTCATGTCATTTTGCGGATCATTTTTTGTCAGCAGCGTGTTCTATCAAGTGAATTGTTGGATAAATTCAGTCGGGGGAAGTTGGGTTAGGGTGTAGGGTTACGGATAGGGTCTGTGTACCCCCTCCCTGTTCTAGTTCCTCATGAACGTAATTTCTCGCGAAGTCCCCTTTGAAGCATAGGGTACAGGTCCTGCTCGAGGTGTCTGATTGGATCACGACCAAGCTGTCTTGCCGAGAGGCAATGGATGTGCTGTTGTTGCTTCCACATGAACGAAGTTGCCGACCAGTAACCCCATGACAACTCCTGCTGTTTACCAATTATGCAGAGAGGCTCACGGAGTGAGCTCATTATGACACAGAGAGATGTTTGCAGCATGTCTCCTTTGCCAGCGAAATAATTCTGGCAAAGTGTTGTTAGACTCGGGGGAGTACAAAGACGGCAGTGTGGTGACCATTATGTCAATGGACCTCCATGAAAGCGCTCAAGACATGTGATTTAAGGAGTCATTGTGAGCGATACGCCTTTGCGGGGCGAATCGTACTCCTGGCATCTTACGGAGAAGCTTACACGGGTTTTGTTTGTGCTGGCGAGGAAGTTAATGTATCGAACATACTGTGTGCCTGTCCCGCTGCTGAATTTTTTCTTCATGTTGTCTGGTGCGATGCATTGCCCGAGGATCCAACAATCGACAATGAAGAACTTGACGGCCAAAAAATACTCGATACACCCACGGGGACGCACCCAAGTCGTTCACCCACAACTTGGCAGTCCCGCCTAAACAGACCTGCATGAGCACCGTTTCCCACCCAAGAGCGACCTAGGCCTACTCCAAGGCCCATCAACCTAGCACCAACGCTCGCCAGGACCTAGCACCTATCCAAGCAATAACAACCTAGATTTGTCGCATCAACGACAACCTAGCACCTATCCAAGCCTACCAACCTAGAAATTGACAACCCATAAACACCAACCTAGCCCCAATGCCGGCTCACAAACCTAGAACTTAACCACCCTGCGCCAAGCTAGCACCTATCGAGTGAGCTTGAGGTTAGGGTTAGGGTTAGCGCTTACAGGGTTTTTGGTCGATTTCATGCCCGTTCCAAAGCGGAGATTTGTGTTGTTGGGGAGTACCACAAAAGGTTTAGTTCTAAATCAACCAGTTGCTGGGTGAAGGGAGAGGACGTTGGAGCTGGAGTCGAGAACAACAAGAGTGCGAGCCTCGGAAAATTTTACACTTTTTTTTCCTGCACAGGGGTTATTTTTGGTCTGTCAAGGTTGTGGGTGCATGGCTTATTTGCGTTCCTGTGGGTGCATAAGTCATTCGGGATGACGGCCATTGGTGTGGATTTGACGCCAGCATGGCCGCGGTTGACGGCGACCCACCGGTATTTGGGAACCTGGATGATTTCGAATAAGCTGGAACGGAACCACATCCACCCCAGAGAAGGCTGGACGGATGCTCTGACTGCATTTTCATTCGTTGTGGGTCCATCGTTGTTGCGCAATACTGTGCTTGCATTTTTCATGCGCGTTTAGGCGGAGAAGCTATTCCAGGACATTCTAGCCTTGGAAGGCCCGGCCGGACTCTGGAAGGGCAACAGGTTTGCTTTCTCCTGGTTGTGTTGATTGTGTCGATTGCCTCGGAGGTACTACTTGACCGAGCTGTTGTTTGATAGGATTTTATTTCAACCATGACTTGCGCCGGTACCATCCTGTTCCATTTTGCGTTCATCGGTAGATGTTGACTGCCCGTGGGCTAACATGTCGCCACTGTGGCCCCGTTGTTTCCTGTCTCAATTGCCAAGATAGCGTTTGGAGTCCAGCTCGTTGCTATGGTACACCGCCATAACCGGATTGCCTCCCCGACCCTCCATCGTGTTTTTTTCCAGCGCGACGATGATTCGCGTGTTTCCGTATGCGGGAACGCAGTTTATGATGTTCGATTCGCTCAAACGGTGGGCCCTACTGCGGAAGACGCGCCGCGACCCAAACGCGGAACAACGACTTTCCAACACAGAGTCACTCATGTCAGGGTAAGGAACAGGGCCAGTTTTCGAAAACGAGAAATGAAAAGTGGGAGTAGCGGTGTCTCGTCCTGCGCACTCGCGTACGCTGCAATTGGAGCACTCGGGGTGTGGTATGCACCCTCCAAGCGTGGTCAGCTCATTTTTCGTGGATGCAAGAAACGTTGTGGTGGATGAATCGATTACAGAAACCCGTGAATCTGCGCGGTGGTTGTTCCATCATCCACACATCAAGGAACCCACGGAGGATGCCCATGGGCATGATGCCAACAACGCAACCGTGGCTGATACAGTATTATGGTATCGCCACCGAATCGTGTTGCAATTCTCGGAGCTGAACACACAATTTCAAATTGAATTTACGATTTACTCTATCCAGGTCGTTAGCGGGAGCCACATCCGCTTTGGTAACGTATCCTCTGGACCTTGCACGGGCGAGACTGGCGGTTGGACATGCCAGGAAACTGGGCGGACGACGAAGAAGGTGAACAACTCTTTTGCATGTTTGTTATTTGAAGCAGAACTGAAGTCGTATCTTGTTAACTGTTGTCAGAAATACCCTAGTCACCGCGAAACAACGATGTGCAGTCATCCGACAGTTGGCGTGGCGTGGAATGCTTTCGTCTCGGACTGTCTCTCTTTCTCGCTCTTTTTCGCGGGGTGCGACGTGGAGAGCGTGCAACTCGGACTATGATGGCGCGGGGTGCGTGCGAGTAGACCGCGCTGCACCTAAGCTTTGGTCCTGGTCCATGTCATTGACTCGGAAAAAACATTGTATTTACTTTGCTAGTCGGGGTGTCACTAGAATTCTACTTTTTGGTTCAGGAAAGTAGACGGGCGGGCAATGCTGTTACTTAATCACAATGGCGCTCCTTGAGTCTTGATCTCCCGATGTTTGACTCGAATCTGAACGTTTTGCCGATTTGATTCGACGGAAAGGTTTGGCCTCACAGCAGTATTCATTCAAAAACGGTAGGATGGGCGGTATAAGCACATCCGTGGAAACACCTCCAATTTCATCGAAACGAGGCGGGCTAACAAAAGTCGAGTGCGTTGATGCGTCTCGAAGGAGCGACCGACAGCTCTGCCGCTTGGCATGCTGCAGTTGGTACACCGTGTAGCCTTCAGTCAACCGCAATCTCCGAATTTAGAACCGAACCTACAGCCAAAGCTGTCGCTCATTGATCCATGCAACCCAACTAACCTGACATGGGGTGTAGCACAATTAGAGCGGCACCGACTCGGTGTGCTTTGTGTCGGCCATGCCACTTGTTCTCACCCACGGTGAATGCCCGTATATTTTGTGGTCACCGTAAATTCCAGCATGGGAGTCCAAGAGCTGCTACAGACAGTGGTTCGCCAGGACGGTTTCAAGGCACTATACCGCGGAGTGACGCCTAGTCTGCTGGGCATCATCCCCTACGCAGGGATCGCGTTTTCCATCAACGAGCAGGCAAAGCACAAGGTGAACATGTCTCGAGAGTCATGTTGCATTTGCGGGATTGATGGAGAATCGAATGCTCTGTGCTCGGGCTCACCCTTTGGCGATAATTCCTTTTTGTACAAACGCCACGCTCTACTGTTGTGATATCGAGACTTTCCTGACGACCCTCGTGTGTGTCCTGGGTGTGTGTGATAGGTGGCTGTGTTGACGGGGAAGGAGCCAGGGACGTTTCACAAGCTGGGGATCGGGGCTCTTGCTGGGCTCATAGCGCAAAGCTGTACATACCCGCTGGAGGTGACGAGAAGACGGATGCAGACGCACGGACTCATCGACACACACGCGGGGGTCAAGAAGGTAACCGAAAGTCGAAAAAAAAACTTCTTGATTAGGCCGTGTTTTGGGAGCGTGACTCCACCAAGGTAGACTACCCAACCATGACTCGTTTTCAAAGACATGCTGGTGTAAATGGTAAACTGATGAAATATCAACCCAACAAATTTGTCGTCGGCCTCTCGGGAGCTTTGTTGTATTTTCGTCCTTGAGCAGGGAGCGAGAGGACGGGAGGGATGACAACCGCACACGATGTAGAGATGCCTGAATTCAGCACAGAGTTGGGAGGGACCTAAAGGATAGAAAGACGTGATCTCGATAACAAGAAGAGAAACCAATTCACCCAGGTAGCCTTTGTTCACAGACCAACGAGATATGCCAGTATAGATGTAGTACATCACCATAATGGCCGTAGCTCGGAACGCGGTTGGTTTACGGTGTTGGCAGATTCACCGGCATCGGTGGTTGGTGAGACGCTGTTGCTGATACGACAATTCTGGTCGATGCGCGCCGAATACTCCAAAGGCATCGCCATATGTTTTGCCATTTCGATTAGGTTGCTCAATCGGCGGTCCCACTTGTCATGACCGAAATGCATTGTCCTCGGCAGGTGTTCGAGGTGCCGAAATCAGGGGTGGAGATGAAGCCGGAATTTGTGCGCAGATTAAATATTTTTCAAACGTTCAAGGTGGGCAACTCAAGTGCCATGTGTACGGTAGGAGGGTGAGCCACGATGCACGGCAATGCGCGTTGTTTTCAATTTGTCGGCGTTGCTGGCTCCTTTTCACGTGTGTCAGAATTCGTAATTGGGAAGGTCGGTTTGTCCAATACTGCACACGCACACCGTTGCGACTGAGGCGGTAGCACTTGTGACGCTATGACAGCGTGGTATTACGGAATAACTTAGATCCGTTTCTCCCGCAACAAGTCTCCGATAGAAACTTCCACGACGCATGCCCTCAGCCATTCATATCCCACCCTGGTTTGACGCTCTTCTTGTTTGTCACAACCATGCATGCAGGCGGTTTTTAAAGAACAGGGAATGGGAGGATTATTCAAGGGTCTGAGCATGAACTGGGTCAAGGGGCCGGTGGGCATCAGCATCAGTTTTACTACGTTCGACTTCCTCAAGCGGCAGTTAGGCATTTCATGACCATGCTACTGCTGTTTCATGCACAAAGGACTTTGTGTAAGCTGCTTGAAATGGGCAGCAGTACGCATACGGTGTAAATCTTGGGGTGGTGGAGAAGCTGAGGCGAGTCAGCCTTGCAAAAGTGTAGTCTTTAGAATCCGAGCAGCTAGCTCTAACCCAGAGTGGTATATAGACTATGTGTGTCTCTTTCCTGTTGAAAAGAACGACCAATTTTGTTCCATTGAACCAACATGTTGTTGACCATCACCATCATCAATCATAGCTCCGGATTTTGCAAGGGGGGACTTTTGCAACCAAAGGGGAGCTGTATTAGCCAGTGGATTAACACGCCAACTGCAGAAGAAAAACGGCGATTCCACGTGCAGGCGTTCAGCAGCTGTACATTGTTGCGATTCTCTCGGATGGATGCATTCCAACATGAGCAAAACGGCCGTCGCCACGAATCGGTGTTGCCAATCACACCAGCATATAGTGGGTTTGCCATACTCGCGCTTCAAGCCGTGTACAATACTTGTATTCTTTTTGTGCACAACAACACCTTATTCCTATCGGGCTACAGTAGGTAGGATACGCAAGGTTTGTTCGCCCAAATACAAGGCAACGGACCAGGTCAACACGAGCGCACCTGCCTGACCGCTTTGTCACTTCTACTGTATGCTCCTCTAGACCACGTGTACCGAAAGGTACACCATGTTAACTACGTTCCGTTGCTCTTTCCACGACAGCGCAACACAAACATGACATTCACGTGACAAATGGGACCTCACCCATCCTGTGGGAACTACTTGAGTGGTGATTCTTGCAAACCGAAAACCAAACGCTCAGTCTTGAGGATTCAGAGCTTCCCTTTGTTCTTCTCCGGAACGTCTTCGTACGGATACAAGGCTACGTAGTGGTTCCCTTCAGCAGACTGACTTCCAGGGTCTAGGTCGGGGAATCTGCAATGAAGAAAAGGAGCGGAGTTGGCGGCACGAAAGACACGTCATACGATTGTATCTTGATTTTTCATGTATATCCGTTCGTTCTTCAACAGCAGCTCCCAAATTATTGCAAATATACCTCTTGAGTGCTTACCTCGCGTACGTACTGACGATGTGGATCGGCCTCTCTTTAGCGTACAGCGGGGCCCCGAACCTCCCAATGACTCTCAGGCCAAACCTGCGAAAATTCATCATTCCGAAGGCGAGCAGAGAGTAAAGTTGGTAAAAAAGCCACCAAGACCACGTACAGACATGCGCATTTTCTGCCGTCGTCAGCCGAGCAGCCGTCGACGTGAAGCATGCCGTCGTTCTCGGGATACCTCCAGGGAGGCATGGCGGTTGGAATTTTGCCGATCGGTGGGGAACAAGAGGGTTGTGCTTTCCTAAATACTCGAACCCAACGTCACATACCAAAGTGGGCGCTACACTCCCTCACCGTCGGCCTGTTGAAACCAGATCGTACACGTGTAGTGGCCTCTTGAGCACATGAGTCAGACCCACGACTTCTCCACCTCCTCCCCACATAGTGTCATCCCGCATCGCCTGAAACGGAATAACGCAAAGTGTTTGGTGGCACACAGTGTAAGGGCTGTGCTCATACGACGATCGTGCTTCCATACCGCGCAGCATGCTAAGGTTGGAAACACACAAGGGGATGATCTAAACCTGCGAACAGCAGTTGGGCTTGGCCGCATCGTCATGAAAAGTGGCACTACATTGCTGCTCCATAGGCGCGGACTAGTTGACTCCTAGTGATGAGCACCGTTGCAATTGAGAGTCCCAAAAACCCTCTACGACGTAAAATGAATCCACCCGTGTCCTGCAGGGTTCGTCCGTCAGTGGAATGCTATTCTAGCATCAGCGCTGGCAATTCTTCCGATAGAGCTGCTACGGGTTGCACTTGCAACATCGACAACATGAACAGAATAGAAAAAAACGGCCGAGGGCTGTACAGACTCGACACGCTGCCGCATGCTACTTAGACACTATCGTGGCGACACGCATCTGGCCGTAAAATTTGCTGAAGCACACCTGTAAGTACTCGTCCCCGTCGGCCATGCTGTTAGCTTTCGCCTGAGCGGCCACGAACGGCCTGGCGTCCATGTACTCCCCCGACATGTAGATTGGGGCGTTCTCTTTGTATGCTTTTGTAAGGTAGTCCAGCGTTTTCTGCAAGGCAGCGAAAGAGGCCCAAAGACAACACGAAGATAATTCAGAGTTCACGCTTCCCCCATGCAGCGATGCAAACGTGCTTTATTGTTTCGGCTGTATCCTGGCGTACCACCAAATCTGGAAGATTCACCATTTCAGGCGGGGTACTCGACAAGTTTACTTTCGTCAACCATCGATTAAAAGTCTACCGAGTGGATATGCGCTTGTACGACATCGCGAGGGGCAAAAACCGGGAGATACTTGGTTCAGGGTGGGGAAGTAATTTTTTTAAGCAGTCCTCATCAAGATATCGAATAAGTGGCAAAACCTCCTATTGCTATACCAGACGAATACTCATACCTGCCGCAAATCCTTTGCTATTGTTTCAATCTCCGGCGACGAGGCATCAGGATGTTCACCGCTTTCGATGAACCATTTGGAGATCGCCACCGCGGAGAAAAGAGCATTTCCATTCACTGGTACCTGTTGGGGGTAGGTGCAACCCAGGACACCAGAGGAAACGTTAACGTCACCTCCAGGAGATGATACTTGACAGTCCTCTCGAATAAACTATTTCTACCGCAACGTGGCAGTACCATAGCTGACACGGGAGGCAGCGGAACACACTTCCCTACAACCTCCAGCTCGTTCTTCCATGAGGAATTGCCCGCATTCTACGCGTTGTCGAATGTGTCCGCTAATCTTTTCTAGTATATCGGCAGCTTGTAAGGGCTGGTCGCAGCGGTCTCCCAACGAAAGCGCGACGTCAAAACATGCACTGAGACGCGCCCCAACCTTGGGGGTCGCATCCTCTCAGAGAAATTTTTATACATACACTGCACATACAAAGTATCAGGGTGTTAGACAAATACTCTCTGCAATCACAACAGCTGTTTTATGGGTAGTAAAAACCAAACGCATTTCAGACAAATGAAGCGCAAAGGGTGCCGTAACAGTTCACTTACTTGTCGCGCAACCATTGCCCCACTCATCGCCTGCACAGCCAGCAGGTCTCTGCAAAAGCCATCCTCGTCCACAACTCCGGTATGCTTCGGTGTGCCCGACTCAGCATCTGGGGCGAAAAATTAAGCAGTGCGAACCAGATGCTTACGATAGCATCAAACAGCGAGCGCCTTGCCCGACTCCTGTTCAAACCTGCAATCATCTCGATACGCTGTTGTACACAGCACAACAATAACAACAACAACCAGCTACTCAGGTCGAGTGTAGTCTGATGCCAATCATAGTCATTCGCGACGTCGAAATCGCTTTGTATTACGAACCACCCCCACCTTGTGCCTTCTTCTCCTCGTGAGCCATGGCAGCTATCTCCGCCGCCTGCCATTGGTTGGGTTGGTGGAGAGAGATCAACAGGCCAATCAACTGAGTTCAAAGACTCCAAGGCAGAAATATTAGCAGCGCGGGTGTAGGCAGTCACTTAACCCATGGTACATTCTATAGAATGTGCAACTGTGGATATCATGCGTGGCTCAACCAAAAAAAGGCAACACCACCTAGCAACCAAGCGAGACTTCGAAGAAGCATTGAAAACACGGAAACCAGTACGTCTAGGCCCCGTCACACCAAGTAGAGTATTTGTCGCTGACCAACGCCTGCACCAGTCGCTCTGTCGGTCGACGTACCGCAGTCCGATGACACACCTCATCCCCAGACACCGACAGTCATCTTTGTCAGACCTGTTCGCAGCAACTCCAAAGGTGCCGAATTGCCCAACAAATCTTCGAATCGAACACGAAACGAAAAAAACTTGCCTTGTCCTCTTCGGGGTAGTCCGAGTTCACTTGTTTCTCACCCTGGACAACACCCATCCAAGGACCCAATCCAGTAAGCTGCGGCGCCTTCTCCAGGGTGAGGTAAAGCATCTTGCCATTGTCATCGAGGGTCTCTGCCGACACGAGCAGTTGGCGAGGTGTCGAAAACTGTTGGCGTGCAATATGAAGCAGGGTCAAGGGGGCGACCAATCACTACGTGATTTATCAACTGTTGTACTTTTGGCAAACAGCAACGCTCACGAACTCTCTGTTTCGTGACGTTCTTGGCAACACTTCGTGTACTTCCTGGCTTTGGACCAAATGTACGGAAATAACAAGGTGAGCCGATGAATGGTGTGGCAGCCCATACGCCATCGCCCGCTCACCCATCGTCCAATAGCTGCCGTCCATCAAGATAGCTCCTCGTAAGTCGCCCTGCGAGTAGCGGGAGGCCCAGCGCGAATATGAGAGCTGCTGTGCGGATTGGTGGTAAGGCGGACAAGGGCAACCCCATGCACATGTGCATGCACGCGACCTGCTCTCAACGAGCCTCTTTGTTTCAAAAATAATCGAAAGAGCACCAGTGGTGTCACCCTAGAGATCCATCGCAATGGTGAAACACTTCCGCACCTCAATGATGGGCGTGGACTCCTCTTCCTTGAGAAACAGTTTCACGTGGGTGTTGGTCATGTCGAGGACGACAGACTTGCCCTTGGCCCACGCAGGTAGTCGCGCCTTGACGTTCACTTCCTTGTCCGTTTCATCCCTGAACCGAAGCAGAGGTAAATGAAAGCAGTTTGGTCCGAGAGTGAAGGCTGTTCTATGAGCTGAAAAAAATGACGGAGCGCGTGGTGTCAATATAAGTGTGCATGTACTTGTATGTACATATCTCGCTTGGCTGTGTCTAGCCGAATGTGACTGATTTCGATCGTAAACACAGGCAAATGCTGTTGGGTTCCGATCTTCTGGAGCACGGAAGAGCAACATCACGAACATGCCGTCTTCATGATGCCGAGATGGAAGCAATCATATTCGAAGGTCGAATCGTGGGAACGTATAGTTTCGTTCACAGGTACTGTGTGCAGCCCAAAACTTGCAGCGACGTTGCAACGGTCGGTGTCATGTATTCCCTCCTGTTTTGTACGGGTCAGACGTCCATCTACACAGCAGCAGTACATAAAGCCTGATGTGTCACACGAGTACGGCGGTCTATCAACACAGCATACCAGCGAGCAGACCGCCCCCATCTCCTCACCATGAATATCGATCAGTTGCACCAGCTCCAAAACTCATCATCCACAAAGGCCGCAAGGTGCGTGGTCGACTTGCTCGTCCAGTCCGATATCGCGACATAACCTGCGGCCTGACCTCCAACGAGAATTGGTTAGGTCTCAACTTCGACACGAAAGAGAATGCAGTCACCGAGACAGGCACAAACGCAACGAGCAGAGTTTCAAGCCTCATGATTCGGTGTTGCGCGTGGAGCACAGAGGCAGAGAGCAGAGAAAGGCGGAGCGTGTGCGGTGCAGAGCGCGGGGGAGGGAGGGGTTTCATGGGGAATCTGGCCAGAAAAGCGCAGGAGGCATCTTGATTCTGAACTTGCAATTACTCTTCATTGATCGAAACGCACAGTGCCGCCGGTTTGCCGTCGGCGGGACTCGGCGTTTGCCGTTCGTCATTCGTCACACGGCTGTGCGCTGTGCGCTGACACGCTACTGGGCGCGCACTCTCTCTCTCTCTCTCGAGCTGTAGCACACCAGCCACTCCCACCAAGGCATCTACAATGCTCAGCTTGCGAACGCTGGTGTGCCAAGGAAAGGTGTGTTGATCACGTCACATTCATGTCAGAGCGAGGCAAGAGTGCCGAGACGAACCCTTTGGTCCCCACTACTTTCGGAAACCTGCAATTGTCTGATGGATATACATTTCGTCCTTGCCTAGATCCTTCGGTTAGGCTCTGTCTCAAAGGAGAAATCGAATGTCGACTCATATTTGAAGCCCGGTTAACGGGTGTTCACACGGGAGATATCGCACGGAGACAAGAGTTAGCCCGGGAAAGAACCGCGGCGGAGATGTGTGGTTGTGGCATATGTATGTGTTGTGTGCTGGCCACTCCCTTCATTGTTGCTTGTTAATCGGAGTATTTCTTTCTCACAAAAACGAACAGAATCTATCTCTATCAACAGATACTGCAGGAGTCTAAAAACAAACCTATTGCTGAAAAACGTCGACACAAACAACGAATAGCCTGTGGGTGGGGGTTGCACTGGGTTGGGGTTGACATGGGACTGCGGTCAGTGAGCCCCCTGAGCCGCGCGAGCCGGGGAAAAACTCCAGCAGGAAGGGTGCAAAACCACGTGAGAACGGCAGTACATCTCGCGGTTGATGCCCTTGCGGTGCTGGTGGCTGCTGCTGCTGCTGCTGCTGCTGCTGCTACTGTGTACCGCGCGGTGATGTGGCACGAGGAGAAAGAACAATGAAACATCCTTTTGCTGCTTGCGGGTTGGCTGTGGAGCCCGTTGTCAGGGTTAGCTTAATGAAGCTTGAGGTAGAACAAAATAAACGGTCGTATCACCATTTCACCCAATCAAACTGAGGGTTCTGTGAATCTTTCCTGACCAACTCTCGGTCTGGGTGCGAAGTGTGAGCGTGGTAGTCCGGTTTTATACCAGGCGTGGGTCTGTCAAAGTCTGGATTCAAATGACTCCATGTACCTTAAGGGGGCGGGGGATTTATGCGGGACTCCCCTTCAGCAACCACGGAAACGTCTACCAAAGTTGTTATCCCATAGTCTACCTTCAGTAAGCATCTATCTGCCATCGCGAAAAACCGTTCACGGCAATCCGCCAGTGTACAATGATAGCCACCAGGATTGCAGTCATTGCGATGCACTACAACGATGCGCAGCCACCCTCGGTGTGTTGTGTTTGCTGTCTCTTCTCTCTCTCTCTCTCTCTCTCTCTCTCTCTCTCTCTCTCTCTCTCTCTCTCTCTCTCTTGCGGGAGGTGTGCGACGGTGGATGATGTTTGTGTGAGATTGGGGCACGTGGGCACGCGCCCTGCGAGCGAATAGACCGCTCGCCAACTTTAGCTCCGGTTCACCCAATGCCCGATGTGATTCAGTGATATTTGTTTCGAACCCGGGTTTGCGCTTGACAACCCTGTCTTCAGATGCTGTAGAGCGGACGAGCGGGGACTCTGTTAACACCATCAACAATGGTATTTGCATATTACCGTCTGGATATCATTGTTTCTTTCCGTAGGTCCATGTTGCCCTCCCTCCCTGTCTTTTGTGTTTGCTCACGAGGTGCACGGATTCGTTGCTCCCCGTAACACCATGTTGTATACCTTCCATCACAAAAATCGCCCAAAGTCAACCAGAGGGTTGATGAACGTTTAGCATCGAAACAGTGACAAGTGATGATGCGGCTCGTACTACACACGACGTTACACCGCTGTGCGTGACGATATTCTATCTCGTTGCGGCGCGCCGGTGGGACATTACTCGCGAAAACGGTAAGCTCGTACATTCGTTTTCCCTCACTGTAGGGCGGTAACGGCCTTGCTGAGGTATTGTAGAAACCTGAATGAGGCGGTTGCCCAATAAAAGGCGGTCATCTTCAGCTGCCCCACCACCCTTTTATACCCGCCCCCCGCACTACAATAACTCCAAAATCTTTTCATTTCTGCTCCTTTTTCGGGTAGGTGCGCCGTGCTGCCGCCGTTTTGGGATGGCGAAGTATGGCATCCCGCGGGCATGGGTCATGCCTGACCTACACCCCCCCCTGTGGTGCGGAGAGCTGCTCAGATGTGCCCACCTATGCTGAAAGCATGTCATTGATGGCACTGATGGCCACCACGGCGGCGGCTTTGGGAGGATTGGCGCAATGCCAGGTGCGCTGTAATGATTTTTTTGTTCAGGTGTGCGCAGGTATGCATAGCAACCAATGAGAGTGTGTGTTTCTTTTTCGTAGCATCGACCACGCTAACCGGCTACCTAACATACGGCAGGGGGCCAACAGCCGGATGAAAAATGCGAACACGCTTTTTTTCTGTAGTCGTTGGGCTCCCCGGGCAGGGTGGCCGCGGAGGAGGTTGGAAGACAGAGAGAGCTCCTCGTGTTTGTGTTTGTGTACGTCACTGAAGGAGGCGTACCTCGGGCGGGCATGACGCCCGCAGACCTCCCCTAAGACGGCTCGTTACAGCACATCGTCGTTGCAGCTCTCTCAGTCCACGAGGTACGCAATTCAAGCTCAGGGACTGTTCTAGAACTTGCTGAAGCGGTGTTTACATGGTTTTATGTTGAGAAAATTGTCGGTGTTATGTGCGTATTAGAAAGCGCTGATGACAGACACCTGGTACACGCCAACAAGTTGAAGCTCAGTAACAACGGCGTGGTGGAATATGACAACAAAGGCACTATTGGTCCCAGAGCTGAGGTTATTCTCATTACCATCGCATCCGCGAGGATTCGTGATTGAGGTCTGTGGATGGAAATTTCGCTGCTATGCCGATCAGCGATGAAGGGCTTTTATATGTGTCTCCAAGATGGTCTGCTGTGGGAAATCCGCGCGGTGTGTCCACTCCTCTCTCTCTCTCTCTCTCTCTCTCTCTCTCTCTCTCTCTCTCTCTCTCTCTCTCTCTCTCTTCACGTAGTCACGCGGAAAATGCATGTTATTTCAGAGAGACGAGTTTTTGGGGACGCTGGTTTCAATTGGGTATGAAGGCGTGCCCGCTCTCAAGCTGTCTGATGGTAGCAGCCTCTAAGTTCGCTTTGTGGTGACGTTCCTTCGGATGGACGTGTTAGTCCCCTTCGCTCGAGCCTACGTGTCGTCAACCGTGTGGTGCAATGAATGTATGGAAAAGTCAGGTTCTTGAGTTTGGATGTTGTAACACCAGGGGCATATGTAAATGAATGCGGCGGGAGTTGAACTGCCCATCACTGCATGCCCTTGCCGCAAACTACAGGAGGAGCACAAGGATGATGACGATGACGACGTGGAAATCGAGAACTGGTCGTCGACTCACTCCGTCAAGACGAAGGCTTACCTGCAGCCAGAATCCGCCCATGAGGTGAAATTGGTCCTGCCTCTGTTTACTTTGATACTATTGTATCACTGCACTGTACCTCGACATCGCCCTGTCGAGGCCACACAGCCAAGCAAGGTTAATGACGTTCGAGGGTGCATTGTTTCAAACTCAAAACATGAGCTGCGACATTCGACAAATCACCGGCAGAATACTGGTGGAGTGAAAGGAATGGAAAGCGTGCTCTATTGAGGAGGTGCACTCTAAAACCCATCGCCTCCGCTGCATTTTTGCAGCAAGAATTCCTCGCTTTCCGTTGAAACAATCGAACATCTTGATATGGAACGAACACCTGTTTGTTCAACAAGGTGTGTTGTTGGTCGACGTTTTGATATTCTCATATCAATCACCCTGTTCGCGGTATTGCCTCGCCCACAAACTTTCGCTTTCCTCCGCCCTTCGCCCTTGCCACAAGGTTGAACGCATCATCAGCGAGGCTCACAACTCGGGAAAGCGCATACGTGTTGTCGGTAACGCTCTCTCCCCGAACGGCCTCGGCCTCAGTGAAGATGCGATGCTCTCTCTCGGCCAGTGCGATCGCGTGCTGCACGTGGACAAGAAGAAAGGAACTGTGACCGTAGAAGTGAGGAATGCTGCGTGCCAAGTTTTTCTCGTGTTCGTTGTAAAAAGGATGGTAGTTGACTTGCCGTTTGCGTGGTCAAGCGGCATCGAGACATGCAGAGATTGTTCCCAACCAGAGAAACACGTATAGGTAAGCACCTAGCAACCGGGGGACCAGCATCGCTGCAGTGGCATTGCTGCACCAGCATGCTCACCTCATCTTAGTGGCGACACTTTCCGTCAAATCGATCAACCGTGCTTCTCTCCCAGGCCGGAGCGCGAGTGCAGCAAGTGGTGGACGCGCTAGCGCCTCATGGATTGACGCTCCAGAATTACGCCTCAATCAGCGAGCAGCAACTCGGCGGTTTTCTGCAGGTGCGAACCATACCGAAGCCCGCAACTCGGCATGGTAACAAATGCAAGCGATATGGTTTTGCTTGATACCATGATATGCTGCCGGCGCACTTGGGAGATCGCCAGGTGTTGTGTATAATGGACGGATATTGACACAGCGGTACAAGCAACGCTGGAGGACGCACCCAGAAAGCGCGGTGAAAGAGCAACGTTGTTGCTCGCATTGTGCTTAAGCACGCGAAACCTTGTGAGTTCAAGTCTCGACCCTTGCCGTCTGGTTATTGTCCGCCCTCAGGTCGGAGCACATGGAACCGGTGCTACCATACCTCCCGTGGATGAGCAGGTGGTAGGGATGAAGCTGGTCACGCCAAAACTTGGTACCTTGGAACTGAGTAATGAGAAAAACCCTTCTCTTTTTCGCATGGCCAAGGTGAGCTTGGCGAAGAAAAGTTGTGGGTTGGATCCGGTCACAGCGACGGATGATGGCAATGGTGCAATAACGCCAACTTGGGGATGTGATGTTCGTATGCGACAGATGCCTCAACTTGTCGCGCTTTTTCTTCGATTTCGAGCAGGTTGGACTCGGTGCATTCGGTGTTGTGACGGAGGTAACGATCAAGTGCGTGGAGCGCCATCAGCTGGTGGAAAGCACTGCTGTTATGACTCGCGCAGAGGTGAAGGCGAATCACGACGCCTTGCTCCGAAGCAACAAGCACATCAGGTACGGTAGATCGCCGTTTTCGGCGACTCGTGCGGTAAAAAATGCACGAACGCCGACACCCACTTGAAGACGGCGAAACGGATTGACTCGACAGTTTCACCACCCAAGCACGCTATGCACCACACTTACGTGAAGCGTACAACGGTGTAAAACGCTTCCTGATTGGTCAGGTACATGTGGATCCCATACACTGATGCCGTTGTCGTGGTGCGCTGCAACCCCGTCGACCTACACGGCAAGTCAACGACAAGGCCAGTGCAGGTACATTTTATACATGCGTTCGTCCGTCTTGGGCTTCCCTTGAAGTGGGTATGGCGCATACCGAATCATTCCTCGTCCATACAATAACCTCGCTCGATGTTTGCCATTTGTCCTTGAGTTGCCGACTTGAAGCCCTAGGTGAAAGTGAAGATGGCCTCACATTTCTCAGAGAAAGGTCGGTTAACATAACTTCCCTCGCTCGTCCTTGAACGTTTGGATACTCCGCTGCAGATGGACAAAGCCCTCCAACGGGGAGCCCGGGATGACAATACTGTCGATATGACACCAGGTAATGATCGTTCTTGGCTGGCTGCATGGAGATCTGTGTTTTTCGTTGTCACAGTAGTGTAGCGCCTTGGGCTTCCTGTAGCTGCGGCAATCTGCTTCGACTGTTTGCGCTTGTCACCAAAGAGTCACGCCGTTTGCTCTACCAACTCATGCACGATGGACATTGTCAGCCAACAACGAAAGGGACAAAAGGGACTGTCTTCAGCCACTGGAGAACCTCCTCTTGGAGAAGGTCGGCTCTACGTTGTCCCCTGCCGCCCTCAAGGACATTTCTTCCCTCGACTTTGCGGGGCTGAGAGACCACCTTCTTGCGGTGGCGCCGTTGGACGTCTCCTGGATCAAACAGGTAAGTTGGATAGCATGCACACCGTCACTCCCGCGCAAGGTTCTCAGATAGAATTTCATTCAACGTGACATGGCGTCAGGCGTTGGTAGAGAACATGGGTTCGCATTCACACTCATGTGCTGTTGCGTCGAGCGCTAGTGGCCCTTCCGCGTTGGCAGTGAAATTTCGAACCCGTCGGGACTCCTGTCGTGGGCAGGTCAACAATGCCGAGGCGGAATTCTGGCGCCGGAGCCAAGGGACCCGCGTAGACTACAGTGACAAAATCCTTGGTTTTGAGTGCGGTGGGCAGCAATGGGTTAACGAGGTCTCCTTCCCGGTGGGCACGCTCGAGGAGCCAAACGGCAAAGACCTTGACTACATGGTGAGCGGTGGTATTGGGAGCAAGCGATGGTTCCGTAAACTTTCAGCCGCAACCGTACGATGCATGCGAGACAGTGCGGATCGTTTCGGGAAGGCACGCCCGTGTTATTTCCTCGCCATACGTATCATGATGTTTGCCATGTCCTTGTTGGTTTTGTTTCTGTTCTGACGTGACAAACCATCTCGCGTACTTTCAGGACGAACTAATGCGCCTCATCGAGAGGGAAGGAATACCGGCACCAGCGCCTATCGAACAGCGATGGACGTCCTCAAGCAACGCCACCTTGAGCCCCGCGCACGATGGAGCTTCGCCTGAAACGGTGCGTGTATTGTACATTGCAACGCTTCCACCTCGTCCCAGGCCTCTGCCCGCCCTACGCTTTGAACGAAAGCTTCAAGTCAGCTATGACCGCATGTCTAATTACCTCATGCTTTGTTGTCTCGTGTATCGCATTCTCTACTTGTGTGCGTGCGCCGGAAGGTTTTCTCGTGGGTGGGTGTGATAATGTACCTCCCCGCGGACGATGTGGATGCTCGAAAGCGGGTGACGGAGGCGTTCTTCGCATACCGCGACCTGTGCAAGGTTCGACTGTGGGACAGGTGCGTCTGCGTGCTGTGCCTGCTTGCCCCACGTATGCTTTCAGCATCTACACCTAACCTACCCCCTAAGAAAGTAATGAAATCTGCTTCTTCGTCAGCGAGGCAGGTTTTGCGGGACGATTTTCGTCACAGGTTTGCAAAGGACATGCGTTGTGTATTCGTTGCGGACGGATCCAAGGTTTCCGCCAGCGTCGAAATGGCAGCAAATTGTCGCTGTGTATTTCCGCCGTCTCGGATCCCCGATTCAACGTGACAGGTACGACTGTGCAGTGCACTGGGCGAAGATCGAGAAGCCACGTACAGCGAGGGAGGCTGAGGATACAAGGGCAAGACTTGGGCGAAGGTTTGCGACGAACCTGCTCTGCTGTTTCCAATTTTTTGGGCGAGGACTCGTTTCGGTCGAGGCGCAAGGTCGACCAGAATCAGCCGGCGGTAGTAGTTAATACGTGGCCCTGTGTAGGTTAAGCATTTTCCCGTGTACATCAGGCTCGTCGGTGATAAGCACGCGTTTTCTACATGCAGGGTAGTGATGAGATATCAATACAATACACCCCGTGAGGCGATGAGTGGCAATCCATCTCCCAATCCCCCAAACGTTTCCTCGCGAGCGCTTGATCGCTGTCTGCTCTGTCCTCCGATCTGATGTTACCTGTACCACGCCGTTCAGATTTCCCGTCGGCGCGTTCAACTCTGTGCGGGCGCTGCTTGACCCAAAAAACATCATGGCCAACGACCACATCAACTCGTGCCTTGGACAAGCGAAATAATCGACAAGGGAGCAACAGCATATCGTGTCTTCAGCTATGTGTGTGGGGTAGCAAGCTTGCAAGGTGTTTTTTTCTCTCTCTGTGTTGTGGCACCTGACACAAATCGATGCTGTCTTCGACCACCTTCTAGTAGAATCTTGTTTGCATCGAAACCCTCTCGAGGGGGCAATGGAGGCCGAGATAAAACGCCGGGAGGGTGGCGGCGGAAGTCTTTGGCGTTTTTTACGGCGACCCGGCCTGAATCGTACACCTTGGACTTGTGTATGTAGCATCATAAATTGTGAGTAGTAGCGAGAAGTAGCTTGCTGCCGTCGGCAGTGTCTATCGATCGGTGCACTTTCGGTCTGTCTTCTTCGGTGATGATTATACACCATTTACCTGCTGTTCCGGTGGAGGGTTATGTTATCAAAAATGTATCTGACGACGGCCTGATTGGCCGCAGCAGGCTGGCGACCAGCCTAGTGGCCAATCGTCCAAATGTTCTTACGTACTATCCCTTCAATACAACCCTTGCGAGCATTCACAACGTTCGTTGCTTGCACAGAGATCCAACGAAGCGTTTGCCTGTCAACAAAGAGCACCGGCAGCCATCCACGCCATCGCTAACTACAAGATAGTTCCAAATCGCGAAGACCTGCATCACATTGATCGTGTCCGTTGGTGCCGAGCGGTGGCCACGGTCGACTCGCCGAATGCTGCCTCAACGAGCAAGAGGGAGTCACACCAAAAGAACGGCAGAACGAAAGAGAGGCGCTGGCGCTATGCGGGGTCGGCAAACAATCACAAACGATGCGAACGGAATACCTGAAACAAGCTAACTAGGTGGTCGACGCTGGCTATGGACAATATACATCTAGTTTACTCCGCCAAAGGTCTTTGATAGGCGGTTCTAGTCTCGCTAACAGCAACACACCAAGCAAAACCGTATTAAATCGCCTGGATCTTACGTCCTCAAATAGCACGTTCCATAAACAGTCACCTTTCGTGGTGTAGTACCCGGGCCGGCCATAGGTACCGAAGGGTACCCCCAGGACAACTCACGAGCCACGAAGTGGCTGTTCAAGTGGGGCTTCTCGAGACCTCACGCGGTCGAGCGGTTTCTGTCGATGGAGGCCAGTGCTGACAAGTTTCCAAAAGCCCGTGACGCACTAATAAGGCATAAAAATGTAGAAGTACCATCGTACTCGTTATCGGCAACCCGCAGAAAGTACGAGGCAAACAAAATCGAATGGTATAAATACCACGTTGGATTTGACCGTTATCAAACAATACCTACCCGTGCTTGGCCTTAAAGGTCGGCAGCCAATCCTCCTTCAACCAAGCTATAGTTTTGGAGAATCCTTCCTCGAACGTCACAATCGGCTTGTATTTGAGGTCCCGCTCGGCCGCCGAGATATCAAACCATCTGTGGATGATGAGCATCTTCACCTGCGCAGGCCACATAGACGATTGGGGCAAGATGGTCAAGTAGCATTCGGTGTTCACGGAAGTATGATTTGGTCATACGCTATACTAACCGTTGAGATCAAAGGGCAATCTATTTTCAACAAACCCAAAAGGGCTTCGGCTGTCATGCAACCGCAGGCCCCTAGCCTAATAGCATAATACCAGAGGTGTCGTGCACCATCGGGTACGTACTCCTGGGGCAGTCTGGCTGGAGGTTGGGACAATTTCACAGCAAAGCATACGCGCAGTGCTTCGTACCGAGGGGCTGCTTTTTCGTAGTCGGGATCGTTAGTCAAAGAAAACTTTTGTTCTGAGGCAAGGAAAATCTGCAAGAGGTTACATACATATCACATTACAGACTACTAACCGTGAACGGGTTGACCCGCAATTTTCGCCCCAAAATCCAGCCGATGCCTGCGCAAACGTAGCCCACTGGTACCATTAGCAGCGTCGGGAGCTTCATCTTGTCAAAGAGAGACTTGAAGCCCATGGCCATACCCGCGCCGTCAATCACCCTCCAGAAGTACTGTCACGGTGGGCAGAAGGGTGCCACATATTGGTACTCGGTAAGCGCATTTTCATCATGAAAAAAAACATGCTTAGATCTGTTGACCCCAAAGACTGCGTGCGCACCCTTCCACTGAGTAATTTGATATCATATAGCCTAGTTGACTACAAGTAGAACAAGCGACTTTTAAATCGTTCTGAACTAGAGCAGTTGTTGCTGCAAAAATAGCAGTCATACCACAGCAGAGTCTTATAAAAGAACAGCATCGGAAGAAGATAGGCCCGCGTTCCTGCATTGAAGACACACAATAAACCGTCACTCAAGTATTGGCTTCCAGACGTTTGGGGCTATAGTCGATCCCGCAGGCCTACCTGCCAGCCTCCATCCGTCACGATGTAGAAGTTCCCTAATGCCGGTGACCCCTGCAAACCGACCAGATCACACGAACGACGAGGTGCGGAACGTGCTGATGGGGCGACAAAAACAACAAAGGAGCAACCTTACTCGACGTCTGGTATAGTTAGTCAAGTTGCCGCTGGCCGCCCTTAACTGCACGCAACTATCAGCCTACCACTGGACACCAGGTCGACAAGATAACACCCTCCCAAGTTCCCAAACACGGAGGTAGCACGCACCTGGTACAAGGCATCGTATCCGAGTATTAACCCGTGGCAATAGTTGTCCAGGTAAGTGAAGGAGACCTTGTTCTTCCCGTTGCCGAACACTCGCAGCTGTCCCTTTCCAGCCGCCTCAAGGAGGCTTGGCATGAACAAGTTATCCCTGCAGCGTATTGTCACAGGCGGCGCGTTTCGTTTTTCGGGCAATGCTGTTGCTTTCACAAGGCCTAAAAGCATCTCGCGAGTAGAGACATGTTCTCGAGGTGAAGCATCAAAGGACAACTCGTCACTCTACGCACCTCGGTCCGTAGATCTGATGCGGCGCTATCGCAACGGTAAGGAGGCTGTCCGAGCAAGCCTCCAACACGGCCACTTCTCCCTTCGCCTTGCTCTCTGCATAAAGCTGGCGCAAATCAAACGCGACGTGGCGGGTTATTCAAGAATTGCATCCATGAACAAGCGTCGACAACTTCAAAAAATTCTGGAGCATCTTTGCACTGGGTTGAAACGGCGCGCGAAAGAGCAAATATTGGCTGTGCGCATGCACACGTATCGGTAACGAAATCACCTGCAAAAACTTCTTCGGGTACTCAAGCTCGTCTTCCTTGAGGCCGTCGATATCATTGCCATCGAAGCGGGTACTCGGGCTGCTCGACATGATGAGCTTCCCCACGCCATGCTTCCTGGCAAATGCGATTATGCGAGCACATTGTCGTTGACAACTCGTAGAACAACAATTATTTCACGTTAAACTGTTTCTGGTCACGTCTATTTACTTCGTTTCGTCCGTGCCTTGTTCGACGAGGGATGAAGATTTACACGGCGGAGAAACAGGGGCTTCCCAGGAAAAATGGCCCAATTAGCAGCAGGAGCAGCAGTCAGGCATACGGGGCGTGCGTTGGACATGACTAAATGTATGGTGCGGCACCATACTCACGACATTTCAGGACCTTTCATCGGTCTGGTGCAGAACAACGCACGCATGGCATTGGGTACCCGCGGTCATGCACATACCTGCATGCTTCGAGGACGTTTAGGCTTCCTTGGTAATTGACCGCCATGTACGCTTCCTTCGCATGAAAAGGTCCCACGAGGGCCGCGACGTGCCACACGCAGTCTGCGCCCTCGCATGCCTTGTCCACGTCGTCGGGGATCGTCAGGTTCCCCTGTACAGACCATGGTTCCAAGGAGATGTGCATGGATATGTGCAAATCGAACGACCTCGTCCATGCATCCTGCACAAGTTAACCTCCCATGGAGAACCGCATGGTAGAGGATACGCATCACTGCTGGGTAGAGGACGAGGCGTGCTTGCTGCGTGTCGGAGGGAGCGCAACCCTCCGTGGTGATTTACGATTTACTTGCTGCTGCGGTAATGGACGGTACGACACATGGGCACAGCAGTACTTGAGGAGATACTCGAAATGGGAGCAAACTCGGCGATAGAACCCAACTACACCTAAAAACCCAGCAATCTCTAATTGCACTCCCGTGGTGGCCTGGCTCACGGCCTGTGGCCACCTGTAGGGCTACATTGTAAGCCCACCTGCTGGTACTCGATAGCCGGATGCTCCATGGCATCAGCGGGCTTAGGAGCAATGTCGAAAGACACAACGCGTGCGGCACCCTTCTCCGCTAGCATTTCCACCAAGCGCCTTCCAGTGAGACCGGAGCCCCCTGTCACCATGCATACCGCACCCTCCACACCCATGACGCTGTGCGGCTAGTGTGACAACGAGGGAGATGTGGAAGAAGTCGAAGAAGTGCAGTGCGGTAATATAATGCGGCGAAAATTTAAATTCTGGATGACAAGGGTCGTACCCTGTAGTTGCTCTTCGCAGTGACGGTGCCCCAGAGAGTTGAGAGTGCGAGAGAGTCAGACACAGGACATGTGCGACGGATAGCGCGTGCTGGGTTTGAAGACGCGCACACCCTACAGCCAACAAGCAGGACAGCTGTTAGCAGTGGTCGTGTAAGAAACACAAGTGGCCGAGATGGGTCGATACTCAGCGTCTCTGCTGGTGCTGGCGGTACTCTCCCTGGAGGCAAGCTCATTCGTCTTTCCTCAGCTTGCGTCTACCGCTGCAGCAGTGTCAAGGAGTCGTGCTCCGCATGCTTCGCGGTCCTCGTCCATACCGCACCGAACTGCAGCAGGACGTGGTGTTGTACTTCAAAGCACGACGGATGAGGTAAATTCAGTGTTATTAGGGTGGAGTGTGGAAGTCCTCCGGGCGGTAGCAATTTTGTGTGTGGTGCTGGCGCGGCAACTTGCACATACACATGCAGTGTTGTTGCCGTATCGGTTGATACGGTTCAACTGCAGTCTCACTTATCGTTGGCAAATCGGCGTGGGTATGCCAAGCACTTATCTGGTTCTGTTTCCTCCACAATACCATCTTAATATTGCTGTGCGTTCAACTTCCAATTGGTCGATAGGTCAGAGAGAAGCGGGTAGATTGTTGCAGCTGGAGCAGTACTTGAAGGAAAAGCGGCATGTTTTTTCGTTTTTTCGCCCTCCCCTCTCCCTCTTCCGCTCCCTCTTCCTCTCCCCCATATTCCATCCCCGCTTGTGTGGGAGAGTGTTCACAAGTTCTCACGATATATGTTGTGGTGGAATGGTCCGCTTTGTAGGATGCAGTTTGACATACAAGTGTACATCGACTGTCGTTGAGGTACTGTAGGTACCGTCGGTGACACGAGTTACCTTTCGACGTCCGCCCGACGTCATCACCCGATTTCTCTCCATGTATACTTGTAGTACAACGATGAATTGTCCGTCTCTGGTGTTGTTTTTGCTCTTCTACGCAAGGATGTAAAGGTGCAAACACAGCAAGAAACAGTAGCCTACTCTATACCTCTCAATTTTTCTGCCTATGCTTTCCGGGGCTGTTCTGTAAGGTTATTTATTGGGATTGTTATTGTTTGCCCTGTGTCTCATACGCGAAATTTGCGATTGTGTGAGAGTTCACCTATCGATTGTTGTTTGTCTTCGCTGTGCAAGCTTGTCATGAGCGTTGTTGTTGCCGTCTGCTGTCGCTTCTCGAACACGTCTACGCGTTCATCGCCGCTACTGCTGCTCTTATCTCAGTTCTGCTTAAACTCGATGTTACATTACAGACTACCGAGACAGCCGAAGAGGTTCGTCTAGAAGACCGCGACGTACCTCAAGCTCACAGGCAAGATTCGGACTAGCTTTGGTTTCGGGCGGTGCACTCTGTTTGGCAGTAGTAGAATTGTGTGTCGTTATCTGGAGCCGTCAGCTTGGGGTGTCGACTGCAGTGCCTCCATCGCACCAACGTCGGAGTTCCCGATATCTGCACTACAATATTGTAGAACTAGCAAATCGATGGTTGTAAGTAACACACAGCTTCCGCCCACACGCTTGTTTGTGAAGGGGGCTGCACGACTTCTTGTATAGCAACGAGGAGGACCACGGTGCGACAGCAAGTGACGGCTCGGTGGAACTATTCGACGGGACCCAGCTTTACGAGGCGAGTTGGCACGACTAGCGGAGTTGTCTTCTTCCTCTTGTTGTCGACCGTTGCGAGTGACTCCATTCCCAAAGTTTTTCGGATGCGTGTGCCTCGCAACTTGGTTGTATGTACGAAATGTGTACCAATTGAAGCGCCAACCTTCTTGGCTACATTCAACTCAACGTTACAGCAGTATTTACAGCAGTATCCCCCACAGTATCCCACTACGTAAAGGTTAGCTCACAAACAGCCAGCCCTGTTTTGCTCCGGTCAAACTCCAGGGTACTAGATACTGTGTTGTCCCGAGGTGGCACATTGCATTGGGAGAACCCGAGTTCATCCATGTCGATCTACCCCCGAGTCCGAATCAATCTGACCGCTTCCAAAACACTTGCCCCCGTGATACCCACTGTGTTCCCGAGCGTACCCATGTGAAAAATCCGACGGGCGACATCCGGCCACAGCATTGCTCTGGTCGCGATTGAACTTTACATCCCCTACATGGAACGAATACACAGGTATCGAAGTGGCTCAAAGATAACGCTGAGTCTAAGCACGCTGCGGTGTATGCCGTCGTGGGCAAAGACGAGAAGGTGAACTTCGTAGGCGTCGGCCGGAACGTGGCGCTGTCGTTGGCTGCTCACCTAGCGGCCGAGGGCGAAAGCATGGTGCACATGCTCAAGGTGAGGTGCAAGCGCAAAGTGTGCGTGCATGCGGGGGCAGCGGGGCACTCAATTTTCAATTTTCAAAACTTGATAGTTTTTCACTTGCACGCCCGGTTCGATTTCGACCCCAGCGTTTGTGGATGATACGTGAAAAGCTATTGCGGCATGCATGAGCCATTCCAACTATATGTAAAGATGGAAATGTAGTTGGTATCCCTTTTCAACGATCACTCATATTATGTTGTGTGTTGGAAGTCAAGTTTTCAGGTGATTTGCGCCTGTCGCTCGAACGCTACTGATGTCAGACTGGTTTGGGGTCCACCCGCTCTCTTCGTCTCTTGCCTTTGACCTGGCTACATGTCCAGGTGAGAAGTTTCAAGTTTCCAAAGCGCGACAAGATGGAGGCCCTCAAAGCGCAATGGATCGAGGAGTGCGGCTCGACGCCTGTCGGCAACATCAAGGGTAGCGAGTGGGCAACCGGCTCCAAAGATGCACAAGTGAGCATGGAGAGGACGATTGGGTGGTTACCACGCGGGGAATTTTGTACCTGTTTGTTGGCCGTATGTTGTGCTTCTGTTGTAGGCGGTGGAGCCACTCAAACACCACTCGGCTTGCAAAGAGCGAGTTCCATAGTCGATTGATTTGCCGTATCTAGATTGTTTTTACTGTCCGGTCGATTCTGTGTAGTTGCGGTCTTATGAATGTGGCAACCAACCCGTTTCGCTCTGATTTTTTCCACCGTGGCCGTTTGTTTGACAGAACGCGATGTCTCCGGCTCAAAAGGAGGCGTACGAGGAGAACAAGTTGAAAATGCGCAAAGCCATCGCGGACCCGGGGCTGGTTGAAGAGACAGAGCAGGTGTAGAATCATGGAAAGTGTAAGCTCTTCTGATAGGTTGCTGGGACTGGCGTGGGCAGGAGACAGCAGTCCAGTTTTTGTTCATGCGGGCCTGACTGCCGAGCATTTCTATTGTTTTATGCGAGCACGGAAGGTATTACACTGGATGTTAATGATGCGGTATGTATGCGATAAACCCTTTTTCGTTGTGTTGGCTTGTGTATGCTTGTATGCATACTGAACTCCCCGTTGACCAGATGAGCTCCGAAGATATCGAACGCCGAAAGCGCCTGGAGTCAGCTGTTGAAGATGATGATTGGAGCAGTGTAATCGACGGGCAAACTAAGCTCACGGAAGAACCTAAGGTTGAAGTGGACGCTCCGACGGCGACCATCATCAGGTGTGTGTTGAAGCCGACAACAACATTTTGTGCTGATGGCTGCGGGCTTTTCTACTTGCTCATCGAGTGGTGAATTGGCTTACCTATGGCCCAGATTTGGTTGTATCCCTTGGCAGCTAAAATAATTGTTCGAATGATGACATCTTGGCAGTGACGCACCGGGGGGGGGGGATACTCTTACGTTTTGCATGCCTTAGCGGTTAGACCATTGACCACGCGTCCTCGAGAGGACGGAGCATTGTTCCCACAGGGCCGATCACCGATGACCAATCGTTCCTTCCTACTTTACCAAAGGTGGCTCAAAAATGTCTTCCCTAGTTTGTCTATCCTAATGATATCCCTTCCCGCCTTTTCAAACCACTTCCTACTCCCCAGTACAGCTACCGTCCTCTCCTCTCTACTCCATACCTCAAACATCTCCCTGTACCTCCCTTCTATTTTTCCCAGCTCAGTCATGCCCCTTCCCTCTTCTCTTCGTGCCACGGACATTCCGCGATTACATGAACACGGTCTTCGCATTCGAAGCCGCAATCAAATTCGTCGTCTACCATCCTATGTCTTAGTCGACGTTCTCGAAGGCCTATGTCCCCGGTCCTGAATTTGATCTTAAGCTTTGTCCCTGCATCCATTGGTCCATGTAGGTAGTCCTTGAACCCTATTCCTTCTTTCAACATTCCGTACACTTCTAGACCCTCCTTATCCTCGGTTTCTTTCCTTATAACCTGTTCTCTCTCGGCACAAGCAACAGATATATTCTCCTTGAACCCCTGTAGACCCTCCGTTTCCATCGCTTCATCTTCGTCGATGTCGAACCCCTTCCATACGTCCTCCACAACCTTGACTCATTCCGTGGGTTGTCTATCCCTCTTTTTGTTTGCCCACTTCGCCTCCCATACTATTCTCGGCAACCTCTCCTCTCCCATCCCGCACATACATGCGATACTGCCATGTCAGCTTCCTTGCGTCTCTTCCCGACCGTAGGGATTGGATCCCCAATTCTGCCCTGACGGCTGCATTACTTGTGCGCTTGGAGCATCCTAGGATGATTTTCGCTGCTTTCATCTGCGCCGCCTCGAGTTCTTTCACTACCTTCTTATTTCCTTCCCATACTTCTCCGCCGTACTCTAGCGGCGGTACGATTACGCTATTCAAAACCGTCAATTTGATGCGTGTATCGAGGTGCCGGTTTGCGAGTATTGGGTGCAGCTTCCCTGCTCGTGCTTTTTGCCCTTTTCCGCTACCATGGACATGTGTGCATTCCACGAGCAGTCTTTTGCGATCTCTACTCCGAGGTATGTGTACTGGTCCACTACTGCAATCTCCTCGATCCCCCACTTCCATCTATGTTCTACTGGTTCCTCCCTGTCCTCATTGCATACCATGACGGCACGCTTCTTAACGTTGGCAGACAATCTCCACTTACCAGTAAACTTCTTCGCCGCGTCAATTTGCAGTTGCAGTCCCTCAGGGGTGTCCGACATACCAACAAAATCATCCTCAAACATCATTCCTGACACCGAAGTTTCCGTGTCCCCTACTTTTACTCCCTTCCGGACTGCCTCTACGACTTCCAACTGATCGTTGATGAACACCTGGAACAATGTCGGGGACAGCATGCAACCTTGTGGGACCCCTTGCTCAATGTCGAATAATTTAGACAGTTCTCCGTCTAGCATGACCGCGCTTTTCGTACACTCTTGTCATCTTCTTCAGCACTCTCCACATTTTCCCCTTGATCCCGTACTTAACAATTGTTTCCACAGCCCATTTCTCCGTACGGTGTCGTATGCCTTTTTCACGCCCAGGAAGAAGCAGTACGTCGGCTTTCCCGCCCTCTTTCTACCTTGGATGATTCTCCCTACCGTGAATGCGTGGTCTACGCACCCCCTCTTCTTTCGGAAACCTGCCTGGCCCTCACTAATGCTATGTTCCTTCTCCAATACTCCCACTATCCTATCGTTCAGCAGCTTACAGAACACGTTTCCTACTGTGTTCAACAGTGTGATCCCCCTGTAGTTTCCTGGGTCAGTCTTGTCTCCTTTTTTAAGCAAGTTCACAACCACCCCTTCCCTCCTTCTACTTGGCGCATACTCGTTTTTCCACACCCAGTTGTACAGCAGTACGATCAACTGGATCATCCCCTTCCCCCCAAACTTCATGAACTCGTTGACTATCCCATCCGCCCCTGCTGCTTTGTGGCACTGCAGCTTGTTCACACACGCCTCAACCTCGTCCTCAGTGAACTCCTTTTCTAGTTCTACGTTCCCAACGTCTGCCTTCGATGTCTCTTCTTTCTGGGCCCATGCGTCCACCTCCTCCTTAAACACTTGGTCAAAAACTTCATTCTCCGAAGGCACTCCAAGTCTCTTGTAGTGTCCCGCGAGAACTTCCCTTTTTCCCTTCTCACTGCTGACTATTCCACCGTTCACACCTCGCAAAGTTGCTACCCCTGTATCCCCCCCTTGCGCGGTCTTTTTTACCATCCCACTAATCCCTTCCCACATCTGCCTGACGTTCCCCTCCAGGCCTCCGTTGGCCTTCTGCACTACTTCGTCCCAAATGCACTTTTTCTTCTTTTTCACTAGTCCCTTCACCTGTTTTCTCTTGGCCCTGTTCTTTTCCCAAATCTCCTCAGACCCCTCACTCAGGTACTGCTTGAAGACTTCTCTACGTTCTCCTATTTCTTCTTTGAGCTCGTCATCCCACCACTTAACCGATACCCCACATCGTACCACCTTCTTTCCCACTACTCTCTCTGCCGTTGTGTTCACTATGGACTCCCACCCTTCGATCTGTGTGCTCCCCTTATCTACCAGGATGTAGTCGAGGATCGAATATTCATTGCAAACTGCCCTTTGCCTGGTGAATCCGGCTTATCGCACTCCCTCCTACCTTTCAACACCATCAGCTCGTTGCTTCCCAAGAATTCAAGCATCCTCAATCCGTTGTCATTCACTTTGTCTTCTTCCGTGCTGCCCGATCGCCTGTCCTCTACTGGAGGCTTTCCCTACTCTGGAGTTGGCATCGCCCACCATGACAACTTCTCTCTTCTTACTGAACCTCTGGACATCTTCCCCAGTTTGTCCAAAGTTCTCCTGCGCCTTGCTTGCGACTTTCTTCGACGACGGTGGGACGTGTACGTTCCCTAGAAACAAATCTTTCTCTCCCCGCTCCCCAGGTATCTTAAGGCGTAGGCTTTCCTCGAACTCCGTTTTCACCACTACTTCCACCACGTCAAACAAGTGTTCCTTGACCAAGAATCCGACTCCCCTCTCCCCCCTTTTCTTCGCTGACGCACCGGGGTGCGATCAAATGCAAACGAGATTGATTTGTTTCAATTCTCGCTCCTCGAAGATATCGCACCCGCTTGCACCGGGGCGCAACTTCGTTGGGAAAATGGCCACGTGGTTTTCATTAAATTGACAAGTGGTATGCACTCAACCAAGCTCCCCGTATCCAGCAAGACGATAGCACCAGTAAGCCGCTAATAGTATTTCACTCTAATCTTGCCGTTGATGACATCAAAACAAAAACTGTCCTCGGAGAGACTGCATACGCTGCATAAGTCGGAGTGATGGCACCAGGGTGCGCCAAAATGGAGGAGCGAAACAATTTAATGAGCGATCGCACCCGGGTGCCACGACTCACACAATTGCGGTATGTTGCAATGGGTCGAGCCCACGTCTAAATAACGTGTGACAGTAGGTCCACGAGACCGTCCAACCTCACAATGCCGACATGGCGGCCTTTTCCCTTGACTCCAGTCCTTTCAGCTCGGACGGCATGCCGGTCGGAGTTGGACCAGATGGGATGGCGGCGCCACCGTTGCCACCCGGGATCGCCGCTCCCGTCCCGGACGCCCCCCCTACGCCTCCGGCCTCCGAGTGCAACGACCTGGAGTTTACGTTGGAGAACGTCGACAAGGTATGCTTAGGGGGGTGATTCAGCAATGGGAGGTTAGCGCAGCAAGGGGAAGGAAGCGGCTGTAGGGTCACACCGGAAAGGTTGCCAGTGCCTTTGTATTGATCGCAATAGTTATTCCCTCGGAGGTGGGGACTGAACGTGTATGCCGTATCGGCCGCCAAGTGCACGTAATCCCCGGACCTTGGTACGGCGCGCGCCAGCCTAGAGTCTGGGTCACTTATTTTGGACCGCTTCGTGCCTCAGGTGCTGGACGAGGTCCGGCCGTACTTGATCGCGGATGGGGGCAACGTCAGGGTCATGGGGGTCGACATTGACCGAAGAGTGGTGAGTCAGTATATGGGTCCTCCATGTTTGGTGATGTCACGGCGTAGACCCCCTGGCCAGCATCGGGGTCTTGCTCGTTTGGCGACATTAAGACCCTTCTCACAAGGCACGAGCCCCTTTTCCCGGTTGTCTACCTATGCTAAAGGCGTGTCGTCTTTTACCGTGATTGCTGAAACGGTCACGGCTCCGCTCTTCTTGTCCGCTCTGTACATGAAGGTGAAACTGGCTCTTCAAGGCGCGTGCGGTAGCTGTCCTTCATCTACGACAACAATGAAGATGGGCATTGAGAGGGTTCTCAATGAGAATTTCCTCAACATGGGCGGGGTAAGGGATCCGGATTGAGTACGTGTCGCCTCAGCAGTATTCTCGGCGAAGCCCACGCTATCGTCCGTGCGAATAGAACCAACGGGCTGCTAGCTGTCGCTCGAGGCGCCAGTTTGTTCTCATGACGGCAAACTTCATCGCAAACCGTGTCGTGTCTGCTCAGGTGGAGCAAGTTGATGAGGCTAGCGGAAACGCCATGGCGGAAGCGACGACTGCCGTGGTAGAAGCCATTTTAGAGCCCTTGCGGCCCGCGATGGTCGCTATGAGGGCCAAAGTCGAGGTAAGACGTGCCCTCGTTTAGGCATAGTTAATTCAGTTTCGTCAACCAATGCGTGTCACCACAGCGCCAACGAAAGTGTTGAGCTTTGAGCAGCCGCTTGACGAGTTTCCCTTTGCTCTTCGGTTTGCACGCGTGGAACAGGTACTGAGCGTTCTGGATGGGCACGTCAAACTCACATACAGCGGTCACCGGAAAGTGGCTTATGGGATCCAGATGGCTCTCCTGGACAACCCGCTCATCCAGAGCATCGATTTTGAATATGTGGATTGACTTGTCGATAAATGTAGAGTATGGCGGGCATCGAGGAGTACGAAGTACTAAGATATGTTGTTGAGCTCGCCCGGATTTCGCGGAGAAATGTAAATCATGTTGGCTGTCGGTGCCAGCGGCGATACTGGTCGTGTATTATTGTGCCAGCAGGAATGTATGTGTGATGCCAAAACATTCTCCCACTCAGTGATAACTTGTCAGATGTAGACTAAGCTCTCTTTCCTTTCCGGTCCTTGTTTTGAAGTTGGGCTTACAACTTCCAACCATCTTTAACTTTCACGAAGGTTGGTTCACCCTTTCGCTCGCCAGTTCAAAGAAGGACAAGTGAACCCGCCGGTTAACATGTACTAATGAATTTCGAAATTTTTACTCCATATCGCAAAACGCAGCTCTTCCGAGCGATAGACAGAAAACGCCGGTCAACCACGTATGTATCCAGGAGAAAAATGCGTGACGCTCGGTGAAACCTAAATATTTCGCTCACAGGAGCACTGCTGTGTTTCCCTTGTACGTACACCCCCGGAACTCGTAGAGGTTCTGTGGTTCCATCTGAATTTGTTCATTGGAATTCGAATGAGTTAGCCGGGACGGAAAAAAATGCTCATGTAGGCTATATGCAAAACGAGTGTCTTTTTGCCAGAAGAAAACGGAGAAATAGAGTTCTAAAGACGCGTGTGCGTTCCGAACTACATGCCTATACCTACGGCAGCAGTACACGCATCATCCAGGTTCAAGACACTTCGGCACGAAAGGAGCGCACACCAGTCAGTGTTTACCTCCTGGTGCTGTGAGCATCATGCTTGAAAACCCAAATAACATACGTGCGCCAAGGTGCAGGGCAGATACAGAATAAGGTGCAGGGTGGTGCGTGGCGTCGTTCACATGAAAAACATCGAAGAACCTGCTTCTGTATTCTGTTCTGTACCAGTGCAAAGCAACTGGTTCAAGTCACGCTTCGGAATACGAATGCGGCGCTAATCGGCTGTACGCCTACGCATGCAGACAGCAGTCCGCACACCCATCCTCTTGCTGTACCAAGAAGCAGCACCTGCTTCCAATTGGTGCTAGCACAAGCAAATCTCGAAAACTACGGCCTGCCTGAAGACTATCAACGTGGTAACGGTCTGAAACGCGCACAAAAGGATGCATGTCGCCTGGGTGCTTGCAGGGTTGACCCCTCAGCACACCATCTTCTGGCAGGCTTCACAAAAGCACACAAGTACGCTCGGTAGCAGACCTTCCCAACAGTACCATCGTGGCAAAAGCATGGAACTAAGACACCTTCCCCGCGTTCCAGACTTCTTTGGACCTCGCCGTAGGTATGGTATAAAGACCTCGGGGACTACCGACTTCTGTTGTATACACGGAGTACAGAGTGTGATTGGTGCACAGACTTGTAGGAGATGTGAGGTTGCACATACATGTGGGAGAGTACTTGTACATGTGTTTTCAGGGTTTGCGACTTATCGCTTCGCTGATTTCTTCGTATCGTACGTGCAGATCGAGGCTCTCAACATTTACTGATGACTCTGAGGCTGAAGACGCAGAGCTCCTGCACCGGGACAAACTTCGAGATAAGGTGCCAACACATGTGTTGCGTCCTCGCGACATCTGCTGTGCTGGCAAATACCACACCCCGATGGTAACAATAGAATGTTGTGGGAAATCCCCTTGTGCCGAGTGACTACCCCTTGATCACTCAGTTCCCTTGACCGCAGCATTACTGCTGTATGGCTTTGAGTCTGGTACGAAACTGTAGCGCCGTGGCGGCTGGATATCAGAACCACAACTGTTAACTATGTAAGGTATTGGCTTGGAGACTACATATGCGTCGTACGAACAGCAATGGCGCTCATCAGCTGCCCCATGCATCGACAAGACTGTGTGCGTATTCCACCAGCCCGTTTTCTGTCTCTCTCCATCGACGCACACAGCAGTGAAGGGCGTGGTTGCCGCTAGTAGCGGTGGCACATCCTTTTTAGCCCGCACTGCTGTATTGCAAGCCGCCTGCTGCCCAGGTGCTCCCAATAATCCAAAATTGTGAAAACGTTTTAACCGGGAGTGTGATCCTTGCAGGCTGGGTGTACTCTCTGCCGTATCCAGGGGGATCAACCCCGTCCTCGTTTCAATTTCATTTCATAAGAGATGGAATTGGTGCCACGGAATACAATTCATTCAAATGCCACGGCTTGAACCTCTCTTGTTCTTGGCGTTGAGTGGTTGGATGGTTGCTTGAGGTAAGGGATGGATTTCGGAGTGTACCCGTAATACCTCCTCGGCTTTTTTCCGCACTGGTGGCTATCGAAATCGTTTCCAGGCCTTGAACAATAAAGGGGACATACCAGATGAACTTCAGAACGATCGTTGGACATAAAGACAACAGCAGCACGAAATTTTGTCCACAGATGAACTCGCTGGGAGTCGATCTTTCTCCATCCGAGGCATCGCATCTACTCGCGACAAATACTTCTTTTGTGGACGGTGATTTCTCCACGTCTGCTATTGGCCTACTCTCGAGAACACTGGGTCTTTCTCCGCGGGAAATGGCGAAGGTGCGCTGCTGTGCTCCTGCTTTTTCGCACAAACAATAGGGACGGGTGTACCTCACCACAGCAATCATTGTACGCCGCCAACTTGGCAGATTGGTTCTGGAGCCTCTCGTACCCCATTTATTGTGTCTTCGGCCTTATGGCGACCCACTCTCATACGTCGCATGATCGTTATCGCAGATTGTTGCGGGCAGGCCAGCGATTGCCAAATCACCAGTTGACACGCTTGAACGCCAGCTTGGGTTCTACCTCGATGTTGTCAAATTGTCCAAACAGGACCTGAAGACACTGGTGAGTGAGAATTAAAGGTGTGCACGTAGAAATTCGTGATTTGTCAGCGACTTCGTGGCAGCGCGAATTTTCCGCCCAGGGCCTTGCTGTTGTCTACATGCGCTACCACATGACCAACCAATCCTCCATTGAGACGTGATTGCAATGCGTAGTTGCCTCATGTGGCGCGCCCTGGTCGTGCGTTTGTCATTGGCTCACAGGTGATTAAGGACCCGACCATCCTTCGTCTGAGTTGGTCCAACTTGCGCGAAAAGGTGATACTTTGTTTTGGTGTCAACTTGCGAAGTCGAGCGCCTCAGCTCAAGTCAACATCAGTTTCATACAATTGTGCTGGACAATGTCAGCTATCACCCGCCAGCAATCCCTCGTGAACGACACACATAGACGCCAGGCCAGCCAGATGTCTACCTACTCATGCAGCAGCACTGTCAAAGTGCGCCTTCTGGTCGGCTGCATTATCTTCTCCACCGCCATAGCATGCTACAGCATTGGTAGCTCTCTCTCTTGATTCTACGCCGTAGTGAATTCTTTGTTGTAGAGGAGGCTATCCAGACTAACGGTTGTCCGTTCCGCCGATCTTTCGTCCATGTACCGGCGCGCGTCAGATGCGGTTCTTCACAGAAGATCTAGGATTCCGTCGATTGCAAGTGGCAAAAGTGATACTGCAGACTCCGCACATTTTGGGGTCCAGCGTGGAAAACAAGATGCGGCCGAATGTGAGGTGGTTGTGGATCATGTTCACCCTTCTACATGGTCCATCGTTGACGTTTTTGTTCTTGTTCGTTTGTCGCCGGCATTGCAGGTGCCGGAAACGAAGGATGCCCACAGAGAAGAATTTTGTGATGATATGTTTTCTTCGGGATTGAGGTCATTGTACCTGATTTGGACAAAATTGGATCGCAGAACATATGTATCTGGCTGCCTCGTTGTGTTGCAGGTGGCCTACCTGGAAGGTGCGCTTGGTGTCCCGCGGCGAGACATCAGGCGATATATCGTGGCGTTGCCAAATTTGCTGTCGTATAGTGTGGAGGAGAACCTGAGACCGAAGGTGGAATACGTTGCTGCAGTATATAAATAAACATCAGCCCAAATAGATACGCGTGAAAACCTCTGGGCGTGATCGTTCTACAACGTCAAGCAACAGCCTTCAGAGCCAGGAGATTGAGAAAAATCGTTGGTATGTTGCGCTTTGGACGGTCGGAAGTACCGCTGGTAAGGTATATATTACTAATGAACATTTTCGTCCGCCTAGACTATACACCTATCCTGACTGATGGTCTTTCGCGTTAATTTGTCCACGTGCTGTAGTAGACACCGTCGTAGTGCTTAACCCTCCTAGCACTCAGTCCCCTCGCAACAAAGAATGTCGCAAAAATGTTTGTCAGCCTATTGGTTGAGGGGTTACAGTCCCTCCAAAGAATGTGAGCTCCCAGTACCAGGCGATGGACAGTTTTTCGACCTAGGGGACACGCGGCTTCGGAGATGGTGTTAAAGCAAGTCAGAGGCCGAGGAGAGGCATCACACAGCATACCACACAGCGTACCACCTCAGCCAAGCATGATAGGCCAAGGGTTCTCGCGTACACACCAGAGCCTGGGGTGACTACCTTGCGGTAAATAGGTTTGAGTGCTGTGTCCCCAAAGTGTCCCCATTTAGGCTTCCAGGGTTAAGAGTATGCCCAAGACCCTGTTAACACTAAACTCCAGGAATCGATTAAATTTACGGTGAACTCTATGGTGTACGACGCATGCCGTGGAACAGGTTGAATGGTTAGAGGCGAGGCTTTTCCTTGGTCAAGATCAGCTAAGAAAGCTTCTTAGGCAACGCCCTCAGGTGAGACATGACTCGGAGCAAGTCGAGTGCGCACCTGTAGGGCAGATTGACTCTTGACCACATAACGGATTAAGAACAAAACAAAATTCTTGGGGGTAAAAAAGACAGTGTTACCAGTCTTGTTGCAAGTACAATAGTCAAATATTTTTCCTGTGTGGGGTTTCACCATTTCTTCGCAAGACACAGTAGTGCCAATCAGATCTACTCAAATGTTGTCTTGAATGACGAAACGTACTGGTGACGTCCTCGCGCAGGTTTGGTCTCTCAGCGTCGAGAACAACTTGAAACCGAAGATTCGTTGGCTCGAGGAAACTTTCGGGGTCAACGACGTGGTGAGACTTGCTTGCGCAAGTTCTTCTGCGGGTAGCACCGGGGTATGGGTTGTTTGATGGCGTACGGCCGGGAACGTTGAATGATAGGAAATGTGCTGTCCGTATGCTCTAAAGGCAATCTCATACGCCCAAACCAACTGAGAGTAATTCAGTTCGTTCGCCGATGGCACAGGCACTGCGAGACATGGTGTTGAAGAACCCTTCCCTGCTGCTTTACAACATCGACACGGGGATCAAGCACAAGGTGAGGCGTCCTTTCTTGAACCGTTGCGGCTCGTATGGTCGAGCAATAACAGAGTACCAGCTGCAAGATCTGTATACACAACACGGTTGAACATCGGGAGAAGCGTAGCGGCCGAGTTTGGGAGTGGTTGCCTTGGCCCCGATGAACCTGGCGCAAATCGGCAGAACCGCCCTACACTATAGAGAACGTTTGTGTGTTTGAGTTTTCCAGTCATGCATCCGAACATTCGGATTTTTCATGCGCTTGTTCAATATGTTGCTGGAATTAACAAATTAACGTTGTTTTACCTGTGGGAAACGACCAAAAACTTGCCTCGCATGTGTTCCACTTCCTTATGACTTTGTGCCCCGATAAAGTTGATGTTGCTTTTTGTTTCGTCGTGCGTTGTTTTCATTCAGATGAGTTTCTTTTCTTCGGAGCTTGGTGTGGAAGAGGCTCAAGTGAGGAAGATTCTCGTCAGATCGCCGACCCTCCTATCCTATAGCTTGGAGAGCATGCGGCGAAAGGTTTCTTATTTTGAGGAGGGATTGCAGCTGGACGCCAACGACGTGAGAATGGAATCACTCGCTCACCTGCCTGGTGGTAACGCACGCTTGATAATCGCAATATGGGTTTATGAGTACCAGCAAGACACCGGGTGGAAATTGGTGATACAGTTTGTGTTGAAATTGAGGTCGTTTGTACCCCTTCCAACTAACCTGTGTCGGTTTCTCACGTTCCTCTGCAGGTATCCAGCCTCATATCTCGCTGTCCACAAGTTTTGGGGTATAGCATTGATGGGATCGAGTCCAAGTTGGTCTTCCTCATGCAGGTGAGGTGGTGTACCAATTGTTCACTCAGTGTTCGCAGCTTGCATGCCACTGCTACCTGTGCACATACGCGGGTCTAATCACGGCAAATCAATGAAAACTACAACAGTTTCTACCGCCCGTTCTTGTCGCGCAGGCTTTAAAGGCCAGCCGAAAGGAAGCAACTTCCATGGCGCTCAAGTATCCACAAGTACTGAATCTCAGTGTCACGAACTTACGCGGCAAGGTCAACTTCTTCACGCAGGAGATTGGCGGGTCAATTGAAGAGGTTCGCGCCGCCATCATTGGCAGTCCAACACTGGTTGGATACAGCCTGACCAACCGGCTCAGTCGTCGGGTAGAAGTCTTGCAATCGCTTGGCGTTCAAATTAACTTTACGGACCACGTGTGGCTCGTATCATCAGCTACGACCTTGCGGTTCAACAAATGGGTAGAGAAAGTACTAATGCACGATGTTGGTGCCGTACATAGAGGGGACGCCGAGGTCGAGCGAAGGATGAAAAGTTGCCGAGCGATGTTGCGAGGTACGTACAAGTAGAGTAGCGGAATGCATGTGCAACATCTTCCTTGTTTCGTTCTTCCCCCACGTAGGCTAAAGTGGCCACGGTGTACCTAATTTCGCACGAAAACGACCGTGATGATGCGCTGCCCTCTCACACGACGATCTACGACTTGAGACGAATGATCTGGACCCTCGTTTGAGGTCTGTGATGTCGTTTGAGCTATGGCCGCGCACGTTTATTCGGGGCACCAGATGTGCTGCATCGATCTATTTCGAACTGGCAAAGTCGCGACGTTTCCACAGGAGGGGCAATACGACGGTACGTTGTGCGTCCAAGCATCGCCACAAAGCTCGTCCAACAAGTCATCTACATGCCGACACGCCCGTTTCCAATGGTCGAACAACAACATGCCAAGAGTTTAACCGAACACGGGTTTTCGGGTGAACGAGAAGCCAACCCTGTCCATGTTTAGTGCCGCATCGTTTGCAGGTGTCGCTGAGCCTTCACTCGAACGTTGCGAACCTGTGCAGCGCGGGCGGAGTGTAGGGTTTTTGACATGCAAACAGGCTTATATCTGTCTCGACGCGTATAGATGATTGATCGGGTGGGTTACCATCGTGGGTTCTTCAGAAACTCACCGAATAGAGGTTTCCAGCCCCTTCCGGATGCCAAGCTGCACGTCCTCTCCACGAAATTGCGCTGTTGGTCTTTGTTGAAGGGGATCATGTATCTGAGGCAGCAAATCAAGCCATAGGGCACACGAACTCGTTTCATAGGCGCAGAGATCGATGCCTCACGGAGTGTGGTGCACACGCTCAAACAGAAGTCGCTCCATCGGATGGAGTTGTCAATGTCCGGTTTCGAGGAATTGAGCGTTTCGATTGAATAATTCCTGCCATGCTTACCGGCCAGTGTCCATCGTGACGACAGCTTCATCAGCCAGTGCCTCGTTAATACACGCGCTGCCCGCAGCATCCACCGCGGTCAGACTCATATGTACTCGGTCGAAGAGGTGTTTGAAGCGGGGCTTGGACAAGTGTCGATCGAGGTCGCCCGACAGCAGGAACACCTACATCGTTGTGGAACGCTTGACAATTATAGGCGACGCTTGGAGTACCTCATAACTATATCAGTTTCTTGGAGTACCATGTACCGATACTGGTAATAGCCGAGTGGCAAATGTTTCTTCACCCCAAGTCTAGAACTTGAAGGAACCTGGCCCCGCAAGGAGGTAGCCATGCACGTATATGCCGGCTTTTTACGCCTCTGGAAGATATTCATGAACGTTAAGTACATTAGGGGAGATGCTTGCTTTTTCTCGCGCGGGAACATCAGGAAAGACGATGCGAACCCCTGCTTGTGCATGATATGCGAAGAGGTGGAGTGTGGCGAGCGGGGGGGGTGCACATCCTCGGGGAATACTATTATAGTACCCAAAGAACTCCCACCTTGACGCCGTCAAAAGTCTCCACGATACACTGAGCCCTTTCGAGAGCCTGCTCCTGGCGAATTACATCAGTCCTGGCAGCGGTAGGTGTACACGGAATCGTTGTGCGCACCGCGTCGCCACGAAAACGATATTAACACGGATTGAAAGGATCAGCTGGAGGTAGGAGGGCGCTTTCCCACAAGAGCATCGACGGTAAATACACGAGCGTACGTACCCGTGTATTTGTTGATATTTCTACGCCTGTGGTACGAGAACTGCGCATCGGTTTGCCGTGTATTAGAATCACGATCGCCTCCAAAAGTAGCTTCCTTAGAACCACAGGCACAGGAATATCCATGAACGGCCTACTTGCCGTGACACTGCTGTCAGTAATAGTAAACCACTACAGCAACAAATTGTCACGTGGCCCGGCATCAACTCAATGCATCACCTGTTTGCCTCCGATGAAAACATTTGCGGGTACTCCCCCCCCCAAAACATAGGGCAGTAAGTTCAAACGTACTACAAATATGCGTACGCTCGATGATTCTGCGAATCCTGTTCTGTGATACCTGTCGTCGGTGGCGTGGCGAGACTGCTCGGATATTCCAGAAGAGCTTTGATCTTCAGCAGGGCTTGGGTCTCGAGCATGCCCCTTCAGATTGACACCGTCACCGGATGCTGGAGATACCT